GTCAGGAGCTGAGTATTCTGATCTGAAGGAGCCAGTTCCAGGACTCGGATGTTTAACAGGGCAACTGTTTCCACCGTGAGTGGTTTACCGGCTGAGGAGAGCAAGTCAAACTGAAGCGAAGAAGCCACCAATTTTCTGACGAGTGACCCGCGGGAAATTCCTGGGTAACAATAGAGGTGGAGCGGAGACGAGGCTCTAACAACCAGCCAGCCTTAAACTTGTAACGAACAAGGCAGAGGGAATATCATCAACCGAGAAAGATCCCTCTAGGCTTGTGTATGACTCACACATTTAGAGCCACTAAGGTATTGGCTGTGAAAACCGCCCGCAGCAGCCGCGGCTACGTTCATATTGGAAAAATCCTGAACAAACCGGGGCAATCCGAGAAGCAAATATTGCATGAATGTAAGTCTTATCTAAACACGGCGGATCCGTGCGCAGAGAAGCGTCTGTATCAGACCTCTGTGGAATCGTCATGAGACAAACCCAAACATTTATCCATCTGGATAATGTTTCAGACATTTTAATCTAAGTTTCCACGCTGCCGGCCGTATATTTTGCCTCCCCCATATTGGCGGGTTTGGAGTAATCACCGGGGATACAGATTTTGCAGAGAGACTGTTGCAAAATGACTCAGGGCACAGCTCCCCAAAATAAACAGGGACTGCACTGTGGGTAATAGATGACTGACGAAGACCGATGACTCCTCTACTGCTCCCTTACACACCATATATTTATGATAAACAAACGTAAATTCCAAACATGAAAAAAAAAAGCAGTTGGGGGCCCCTGACTTGATCTGATCCTGGGCTCAAAAACACATAAACATGTCCAAAAATAAACAGGCTCAGACGCACATACATGTAGAAAGAATCTTTTAAAAACCAATTTGTCAGTGAAGTTGTCGCTATGGTACATACATCTCTCGGTTCAGAGTCACGTATTTGGAATATTAACCTTGCTTTCCTTCTGTCTTCACACTTTTTGGTCTTTGTGATATACAGTGGAATACACGCAACCATTGTTGGCCACATGTCCTAGTATAAAAGGGGATGCTGTAATCATTGTTTGGACCACAGTTTAAGCCTCAGTAGTTGCCTCAGTTGAAAGACATTTGCAGAGAGATGATTATGTTTAGCCACCAAAAAAACCCAACTCACAAACAAAACTGTCATTGCTGTGTTTTGCTATTTTTTACTAAGCATTAAAGGTCCCTGAAGGTTGCAGACCAGTAAAAGAACCACCTTAGACCCCATTGGTAATTTTTTTGGGTAAATATCCCCACCAAAATTCAGGAAAAATACTCACAACTCTCAAAGGTGTTTGAGACAGACATCAAAAATAAAGCTTATTTGTTCATCTTTCGTGAGACTTTCAACCCCGATTGAAAATCTCAACCCTGGGCTGGAGCAGGATTGAGTTCAACCCGGGGAGAAATCAATCTCAGGGTTGATGTGGGGTTGACGCGGGGTTGAACATTTTCAAGTGTGAAATGCCGCATTTCCTCAACCCTACGTCAACCCTGCATAAACTCCAAGATTTGTCCAGTGTGAAAAGGCCTATAGATGCTGCAGTAAATCCTTGGGCCAGTGTCATGTAGCTGCTACTGCTATTAGCTAACCAAGAACAGGTTACCAACCAAATGTTATACATGTATCATACATAATTTGTTTGACTGGTACTCTGCCAATTTCTGCTAAGGACTAGAAAATAGCTCAGCAGTGTTTTCAGCATAACAGCTACGTATACATGAAATTTTTCCTTTAACGCATTTGCTGATTTTTATCCAAATCGCATGTACAGTCTGAGAAACTTGAGATGCCAGCATCCCTCCATCCCGCCACACTCATAAGATGATTACTAGAACACGAGCTGCTTCTCTCTATATACACTCACACACATAACAAGCGGGTTGTTGATGAGACTGTAGATTGATCATTGTTGGCATTGACATCGGAGGGATGTACTCGGTACCATTACCATCCCAGACACGCTGGCTGGTCAGGGGGTGACTCACTCATTGCGTCCACATTAGGACTAATTGGTTGATGGATATCTTGTGTCTTAGTGTTATGCTGCACCCTGCATAGAGGTCACTGCAAAGATGTGAAATATATCACAATCTGTGCTTATCACTCCTATCATGGCAATTTGCGTGGGATTCCCTTGGCGTATTAACAGCTACGATGCCGAATCACTGAATGAATTGTGGAGTCCTTTACGCAGAATCACTTTTGGCATGCATGTAGGGTGCATCCGAAGGACTTGGTAATGGCCAGGCCGGTGATAGATACTGATTCCACTTTTTATAGAGGCATGTTTTACTGCTGGCCATAGGCAAGTAATCTAGAAACTGGGCCTAATTTGATGGCTCTGCTTAGCACATGATTTTTTTGCTAACTAGAGCCTCTGTCTATTTCAAAGTGACCATAAGCAGTAAGTACAGCAAAGCACACTGAACCCCAGAGGAAAAGGTTGCTTGAATCGGTGCCGTAAGAATAGAAATATCCATGCACGCGGCCTTTAGCACATGTATCCACTTCATGATATGAAGTGGAGGTTAGGTTTGAGGTTAGCACAATTTTCTGCTATAGTAAGCACAACTATTCTGCTAACAGTTAAGCAGTGCCATGAATTTAGGATCTGAGGGGCATTAACACACTTGCAATGTGGAGCCACACACACCTCAACCAAATTCTTGGGACTATGTTACCGGTATGTGGTATAAGCAGTCTTGCAAGATTGACGATCCTGCCCCCCCCCCCCCCCCCCCAACATCTGACCTTTTGTCTTATCGGGAAACCATCCGTAACCACTGTGGTTCACATCAATCTTGCCCCTGTCTTGGCTTTCATCTTGGCTTGATCAGCTAAGCGTGAGCCTCTCCAAGTCCCAGCCTAATGATGCATACAGCCAATTTGTTGCTTCAAATCTCTCTGCCGCGCAGAGTTCTTTGAGGCTGTGCCGCCCTGGCCATAACCAAAGGAGAAAGAAATCAGTCCGTGTGTTCCAGAGAGTGGAGGTGTCACATATTTCATGTGGTTTTCTGAGAGGCTGGCATTGCCAAGAATGATGGATTTCAATATGGATCATATCCTCTGCGTAAAGTGCTCTGACTTCCTCAACACCAAAGTAGCGTCATTCAAAAAGTAGAGCAATACTTTGATATGGAGATGCTGTGTTAACTTTTATTTGATATTCCATTTCATGAATGAATAATTTCCCTTTATGAGTGAATGATTTTTCTTGTGTGAAGTGAACGGTGCAATTTGCTTGAGTTATTTCTTCCAGTAATTGTGTTTGTGCAAAAACATCTTCTCAGTAGGATACATTGGAAATGGTACGAGCACGCGCTCAGGAAAAGTTGTGAAATCACTATATTGTGTGGTAATTTCATCTGGAACACTAGGGGCAATGTGCATTTTACATCCCAATGATAAGATTCATTATGTGGGTTTGGTGAAATAACCACACAAAATGGTGATATTCATGTAAAACAGCAAGTATTTCCGAGCCGCATTCGTATCCCGTACGCGTGCCATTTCTAATATTTCAGTTGCCCAAACCTGAAGTTATACCTCCAATACATGCTTCAGTCTAATTTTGTTTGAAGTGAATTTTTTTCCAAAAATTTGATGCAGAGACACAATTCACATAAGGTACTTAATTTCCCTTCTCTTGTGATGTGTCCAAGTAGACGTCCCAGTTGTCCCCCTATTTTAACCAAGCAAACCCGACCCTCAGTAACACGCAGTACGGTTAGCAGATCATGCCAAGAATCCGCAACAAGAGATGACAATTTACACCAAAACACTTGTAATGCCTGCCTGTGGAATACATCCTATCCGGCCCCCATCTCCCCAACGATATTTCCTGCAGATAAAGAACGGCCCACCTGCAGCCTCGCAGCATCTTGGGCACGCACGGCCGAAACGCGAAACCGCGGCCATAAAAAAAAAGTCCCTTTGTTCCCTGACCGTTTATTGAATTCATGAAACGTGTGAGTCACATGGTAGATGCTGAGTCGTGCCCGGGACACTGATATTTTAAAAATGTCAGAAAGAGTGAATTTCGGAATATGGTTCCGCTTGGCCTGTCATGAAACTGAGGTGGTTTAGAGGTTTCGGCTGGAAACGATACGAGCTTGTCATTAACTGCAGTGTGGTAGAGGGGTCAGATTTCAGCCAAGCAAGGGTGCGCATACAAAAAAAGGGCAGTTTTACACCAAAATGACGTACATTTAAAATGAAAGTGGGTTAAATAATTCATTCCGGACCTGTGCCATTATACTGTACATATCATTATTTTGACAAAATTATGTGTGAAATCATTATAGTGTACACACACAAACATACACAACTTGAGTTTAACAAGTTTTGAATTATTTGACAGTCAAATCATGGAGATGTTTTTTTACCTGTTCAGTTGATCTGATAAGATGCCATCTCCCTACAAGGAATTCACAAATTCCGTTGCGTATTTTGTATTTAGAACATCTTTTTTGTATTAAGCAGGACTGCAGTACTTGTTTTAAATTTGTTTATATGTTGATCAGTTAGTATCATTTGGGTTTAGTAAATCTTGGTGGAATAAAATGTACATAATCCTTACGACACAAATTCCAATCCAAGCACATGAATCTTTAGCAACTTATGTACATTTGATTTGTTTTGTTGAGAAGATAAATTAATGCAACTGATGGTTGCATCCAGTTTTTCCCATGAACGTGGTCGGAGCAAAGATTGTAAAATTTCTGTAAACCTATTTTTGCATTGATGAATTGGTAACTAATAAATTTAATAAAACTGCTCTAACCATTGGGCCTAACAATCTCAAAAATTGAATATTATAATAGTCCTCTTTGAACAGCAATGCATGTATATTTAATTGAGACTTCATCAGGTATCAGTGGTCAGATATTTTCTTGAACTCGCGTCTTACTTGAAACTCTTGACATGACCTTTAACCCTTTGTCTTTATATCCATCTTTTTCTGTGCAGACTGCAACATTGATTTTGGATGACTGTAACGCGGCTGTGTCTTTGCAGCATGGTGAAGAGCTAGGCAATTACTCCTGTGCAGCCTCAGTCACGCAAGGGGGACAACTCAAGTAAGTGACTGGCCATGATTTCGAGACCCACCATGAGGCATGTTTACAACATATCTAGAAGCCCTCCTTCGTCCAATTTTAACGTTGAGATACTTGAACTTTTTGTTGCATTTTGCATTTGTAAATACTAAATCAATCGTGGGTTTTTCCTTTTACTGATATAGGTTAGTTTCATAAACACTGAATATGTAGTGTTGTCCAAAGGCTTACCAAGAAACAATTTACACGCATACGCAGGTGGGACTCGAACCTACGACCTCCTGCTTACAATGGCAGACATCAGTACATGTTGTCGGACATATTCAAATTTGACTCGATCATAAACCCTATGGGCTCTGTGCGCCAAAGAAAGAGGGCACCCTTTTACCTAGCAACGACGTCCCATGGGTGGGACATTTAGCTGGTTGACGCGCACCGTTCCTTTTACACCAGGGGATTTGTACTATGTACACGCAGTGGTATGGCCGCGCATCGCAGCAAAACTTGCAGTCAGGCAAGATGGCGTCGGTCGGTCACCCCCAACTGTACTTTCTTTGCTGGTGAGGGGGTACTTGTGAGCGGAGCAAATAGGCCTACCCTGCCAGATCTTTCCAAATCTGTGAGGAGTTATTGAAGGATTTTGTAGGTTTGAGAAAGGTTGAGCCCAGCCTTTATTAAAGTTTAAACACACAAAAAATGTGCCATTTGGTTTCTGCAAAGTGGGTGATCAAAAATGCCATAGAAGGTAGTTTGGGCTGCACAATCATATTTACTTCAGGAAAGCTTATCCATTTTCTGTGGACCAATGTGACGCATTCTGGCATTCTGCGATGAAACAGGCCAAAGTGAAGAAAAAATTGCAAAAAAAAAAAAAAAAGTATCAATGGGGGTGATTTTCAGATTTACAAATTTATTGATATTGGTAATCTTTGATATGTCTACTACACATTTTGAAATCGTTGATTAAAAGTGTTTTATGGAAAAACATTTGGCATCTTTCATTTTCACGAATGCAAAACTCAAAAACTTTAAAGGCCTTTTTCTCAGTGTTTTACTTTTTTGACATGTCGATAAATGCAACCTTTAAACAGCCATAACTTGTCAACAGAATGTCTGATTGAAGTGCAACAAAACAGTATTGCTAGGAGAATTATGTTTTCTTTTCTAATACCCACAAACCCTCATTTGGACCTCTGCCCAGATCTGTCTTGTTTTGCCAGAACGCCTCACAAATGCAGTGCTTCAATGTAATGTGGCATGCACACTCATGTAGTTAAAGGTATAGTCCATCATTTGTATTTTGTGCATTTTGTTCGTTTGAAGCAACAAAAGTGCTCAAGATCTAAAGAAGGGTGCTGAACAACTAACCTGATGAAGTTGCAGCTCAGCTTCAGCTGTATATTTCGAGAAAAACAACATTCTAGGATCTCGATTTCAAATCAAAAGTTGCTGAATCACGTTTTGAATTGGGCCTGAATTCAGCGTGCGTGACACGTTCTCACTGAGCCGATTGCAGCTACGCGATGTCGCGCACTGATCCGACGAATTATAGCAACCGTGCGTGTGCGTCGTGCCAATGTGGGCGCGCGCTTCGCCAAATCACAAAACAAACTACTAATTTGAATTTCCTACGGTGCGTCTTAAGAAGCACCGTTGGAAAGGCCTTCTTTCATTGATTACTTCAAAATGACAGCTTGCCAGAAAGAATAATTTCACAGGGAGTTTAGTCTTCTTTAATACAATCTTTCAACCAAGTATGTTTTTCAACAATAATTACGCCAGTTACTTTTTGGATAGCTGCAAATGATGGACTCTGGCTTTAATGTCGTGTTAAGATGATCTGACATACAAACATACATACATGTACATGTACTAACTGATCAATTTTGTTTTTTCCCTCAGGTTCTTGGACATGACCGGGCCCTTCATACTCGGCGGGCTCCCCATGCTACCAGAAGACTTCCCCGTGATCAACACAGACTTCGTGGGCTGCCTCCGTGACGTCTACATTGACAGTGAGCTGTTGGACCTAGCCACAGCCACCAACCTGGAGCCCATGGGTAACACCTTGCCGGGCTGCTCGCATCGGGAAGACTTCTGCACCAGTGGGCCTTGCGGCGGTGATGGGGGGCGGTGTCTGTCGGAGTGGGATGGGTACAAGTGTCTGTGCCCCGATGGGTCTGGTGGACGCAACTGCCAGGAAGGTTGGTTGTGAATTCAACGAGCACTGTTACTAGAGTATTAGTTGTTTCATGTTATAATCAGGGTTCCCACAGTCATGAAAAGAATCCTTGAAAATTCTGGAATCACGGAGTCATGGAAGTTGATATTCCTAAAAAAGTCATGGAAACGTCCTGCATAACCCATACTTGATGATGCGTAATATTTGGCTTTATACATATATAACCGACATACAGATCCTTGTCATTTGATTGGTGGAACTCATCCCACATCACATGACATTCGTTATTGCCCCCATTCACGCCGGGTCTCAAAAAGTACTCTCCGCCCTTGGGTAATGGGAAATACTATTGAACAGTTAGGATCATTCTTGTTCCATGACACGGTATTTGTGTGCAAATGCATGCTGGTGTGCGCTTTCAGCATTGCGCGTAGCGCATATTGTTCCAAAGAGCCAGCGCTACAGCGTTGGGTTCAAACATTTTCGTGAAGGGGTGGTTTGGAAGAGAGAAATACATTTTCCTCCAGTTTTTATTGAAATAAAAGTTCAAATATATCAAATGACAAGGATCTATATGTCAGTTATATAAAACAAATATTGAGTGGCTTTAAATTGTGAAATGGGAGGAATATTATCGCTCGGTAAAATCTGGACTTTTCCAGTTCACTCGGCTTCGCCTCGTGAAATGGAACAGTCCAGATTTTACCTTGCGATAATATTCCTCCCATTTCACACTGAGCCACTCAATATTTGTATAATGGCAGTATTCCAGTTTGCATTCCAGTTCTGTATACTTCCTCTTTATACATCTAACTCTATACTTGGTGCCTGTTCAGTGCACCATTGAGATGCTTTTGTGGTGCTCAGTGGTCCTGTGTCAAACTGGAAGGCTAACAGGGAGTGGCGTCCCTTTCCTTAGTGTGATGACTGGCCAGAGTATTGTAAATAGGCTCCTTGATGCCAGAACAGTGTAGGAATTGGTCATAGAAAGCACTTTTTTGTCCTCGGGAAGTCATAGAATTTGTTTTACGATTTTTTTTGGGAACCCTATATAGTGGCAGTAATAATCGTGTAGTTTATAAACCCAGCCATTTTGTTCTTGGTGCTTGTGTTCTTTGGCAAGATACTTGACAGTAAGCGGCTTCCTTTGTCTGAGCATGAATGGTGACCTGATGTGGGCAGATTACATTGTGCACAGCTCTTGTCTTGTTGGATGCTCCCCGGAATGCTTATCAGCCAGAAATCTGTGACATTTTATAATTCCTGTAATTTCAATGGAAAGGGGCAACATTTATTCATTTATTTATGATAAACATATTCTGTGCTATGCTTTTATTAATGTTTTTCAATTAATTAAACTCTGAACTTTATGCTTGTCTTAATATTACTGATATCCACCATTCCTAGATCTTTATTATTTTTCTGAGAACTCTGCCAAAAATATACTTGTTGAGAAGCTCTCCCGTTGTTTTTCAAAGTGACGTTTCTTTTTTTTTCATTTTCACTGTAGATCTTTCGGACGTGATGACCTTCCAAGGCAACGGCCTCCTGACCTTTCCACCTTTGACCTCAGTGGTCACCATCCCGTGGCTGAACCGTGTGGTGTTCCGCACCAGGGACTTCAACGGGGTGCTGATGAACATTGAGCTGGCCTCCTCGCTCACCATACAAATCGAGGTGCGGGGAAAGACACCAACATTTCAAAACAAAAAAATAACAAAAATGAACATTCATTTTGTTTCTCCACTGAGCTGAAAGATAGGAAAGCCTTGAGGTTGCAAGATAGTGAAAATGATGCAGATTGATGATTGTAATTAAAATTTTAATTCAACTTGCATCAAATCAATCATGCTGATAAATTAATGCCAACACGGGAGTCTGTGTCTAGACAAGTCAGTGTTTGGTATGACAGGGATGTGATTTCTCCGTTTTTTTCCGGAAATCCGGTTTTTGGAGCCTCAAAAGTCCACCAACGTGAATCGTGTGAATCCGTTGATAAAATAGGGGGGTAGAATGTGCTAATTAATTATTCCTAATGAGTTTTGCTTTCCGAAATATCCAATTTACTTACGGACATAAACTTCGTTGATCGATATGTATGCCGCACGCACATATTGAACACCCAATGTGAGAACGAAGTTGAAGACCATGCATTGCCATTAGTGCAATTATGTGATTTTTCGCTCGGGGCCGAGGTTGTGGTTATGTAGGTCTAGTTTGTGTTTCGGTACTCGAGATGCACGTGTTGCGCTGGTCAGGTGTGCAGACGAGTGCAGCATGGTACACTGGTACCCTTCGCGTGCTAACAGAATCGATGCTATGATGCAGGATCGAAACCAGTGACTACTGCAAGTACTCACAGGTTTTCCGTGCGTAAGCGGCCGAAGTTGGATCGTAAAAATAGTAAAAATACCAAACAACCATCGATGGAAAAAGAGGATCTCGAAACATCGTAGCGTGTTTCTGCAGTCCTGCAGAATGTTCGGCCACGTGGGATGGGCCGTACACAGTGCAGCAATGCACACTGATACTGCGCCGGGCCGGCCGTGTGTACGGCGCGATGTACGGCCGGCCAGACTGAATGTTTGCGGTGCTAGCGGCCGTGATGTACGTTAAGCATAATTGTGGAATGACCCACCTCAAATATATTTTTAATTAGGTGAGGCAAGTTTTAATTACTTTTGATGGCTAGTCTTGATAATTTTTGTGGCGCAAATGAGAATAATCCAGGCACAAAATACATGAAATATAAACGATTCCTTGCTTTACTACAAATATACAAATGGTGAAATAATTTTTTTCCAACAATACTACCGACGCTATTTTGAAAGGCATGTTATCGGAAGCAGAAGTGATTTAAGTTTACAATTTTGATTTTTTTTTTTACAAAAAAATTACAAGATCTCCTGTGAAATGCTCTAAAATGCACCAGAAATCTTCTAAAGTTCAAAATTTTTCGGGGCCCTTAAGCGGGCCCCGAACCCACACCGTGGCTTCGCAGGTTGTTGTATCACAACAAAAATTCCCCCACAGGTTTGAAACAATCCTGGGGAGAACAGCTTGGTTCTCAACTTTGAGTACAGAAAAAACTTTATTAGAACAAGAGTACATTTTAACAATAAAGGAAAATTCTTCATAAAATTAAAACAAATTCTGCTTCAGAATTTCAGAGGAAAGTGCCCAGTAATTGCCTCAGATTGCACCACAGAGCATCTAAAATCAAAAAATTTTCGGGGCCCGTTTACGGGCCCCGGAAACCACGCCGTAATGGCTTCACGCTCGCCGGAGTTTGCACTTCATGCATACAATTTTCAGGTTTTTTTGTCACAGACCAATCACATCCCTGGTATGAAGACATTCACATAAAGACTTGCAAGCTCTGTTAAAAAGCTTTACATTTTGTATTAGTAATAATCAAGACTTGGTCTCACTGCACTTCCATAATACTTTGCAGTACTACACTGTTCATAAACAATAGGACAAGTGACATCATAAAATGGATACAGGGAATTTAATCTAGAAAATCATTAACAATATTTATCTATACACAAGATTATTATCCTGTACAGGACAGACTTTCGTTTATATCCGACAGTAATTTAAACAATTTTTGGGGGTGTAAATTCATTACATTTTCCATCAGGCAAGTATCAAACTATATATTTGAGACGTTTTGAATTGGCACTTAGTAAAACATTAGGGCCCATCTCAATTCATATCCGGGAAGAGTTCCCAACAAGTTGAGGATATTGTATTGGGTATAAGTTGCAGGATTCTGAACAACTCCTCCCACAATCTTCCTGGAATGGAGTTATCAGTATTGGTAAGTAAACCAGTTGCTAATGAAAACTTTCCCCAGAACTTTCCCTGGGACAAATGCAGAGCTTCTTCCTAAGAAAGTGAATGATTCTATTCGCAACTTGCCCAGAACTCGTCCCAGATATGAATTGAGACAGGCCTTTGTGTCATTGCATATGGGTGACAAACAACCTGGATGCGTTGTTTTGTTTTGTAGCTTGACTCTGGTCAGATTAAGTACCGCACACCCACGGTGACTGCCAAGCTGGACAATGTGGAGGTGAATGACGGACAGTGGCATGACTTCACTGCGGAATGGAAGAACAACCAAATTGTCCTGACGCTAGACTTCAACCAACACACGGTACGTTATCCTTCACACCTCCCCAGTTTACTCTCATGGCTTCTGTTGCAAGTTGCCATCGTGCTGGCTTCCTCAGTCATTTCAGTGGGTCAGATTGGGAACGATAGAGGGCAACGTTTTGTTGACCACAGGGTCCATTCCGTGGCACATTTCATGTACAGAAACAATTCATGCAAGGGACACCGCAGAACTTTTTACATAGTTGGTTTGTAACAGTAGGACACTGGCATGCTGCAACCACTTGAACAAGTTCTTATATAACATCCCATATCGTAGTCAAGTCTGTCAAGTTTTCACAAGTCATTCAATCTGAAAGTACATGTAAGTGACAACTATTGTTATGTGGAGTGTCATGGCCTAGCGGTTAAGAACACCGGACTCATGCTCAGGTGTTTCAGAGGCAACAGTGGCGTGGGTTCGAGCCCGGGCCTGGACACTTGTGCCCTTGAGCAAGGCACTTAACCATTATTGCTTCGTCCTTCGGATGGGACGTCAAGCCGTAGGTCCCGTGTGTTGTGTAATGCACGTTAAAGAACCCAGTAACACTTATCGCTGAGAGAAGGGGTTTGCCCCGGTGTTTCTGGCAGTTTCTTGTAACCCTTAAAGGTGCTACATAATGGGTCTCATATTTCTCATATTGAGGGCCTCCATGGAAAGCAGTGCCCTGCACTGATCGGAGCTACCCTCACTAAAGATGACGCAAATAAAATTAAAATAAAGTTAGTTGGGTGGCATGGATGGCTAGTGTGTAAAGTGCTCGCTTCGCACCGCTGTGGCCCGGGTTCGATTCCCGGCTCGGACCATATGTGAGTAGAGTTGTTCTTGATTCTCTCCTGTGGCACAAGGATTTTTCTCAGGGCTCTCCAGTTTTCCCCCTCCGCAAAAAAAATGACACGTTTGAACTGGCTGTGCTTTCGAACTGGCTGTGCTGATCTTAGCCTTGATGGAGTTTTCAATTGACAAATCTCCTTACCTTGGACACATGTTTGATTTGCACCTGTCAGAAATCTGTGACTGCCCGTGACACCATCGATGGCCAGACGGTCAGCGCCGTTCATGTCGGTGGCCTGGTCAACTCGGAAGGTACCCTGCGACGCGGTTTCACTGGCTGCGTGCAGGGCCTGAAGGTAGGGGATAACGTCCTGGCTATCGCTGCGGCCGAGCAGAGGAATATTCAGACAGGGTGTGATCAGCTGGACTCATGTTCCTTCCAGTCAATCACCTGTCCTTCTGCCAGCAAATGCAGGGATCTGTGGGGGAAGTACGAGTGCGTCTGTGATCAAGGTTAGTGAGCCACAGAATTCCATTGCAGTTTCTCCATTTTGTAACACCCTTATAATCGTTACTTCCAAATTGAAGACGGAGAGACTTCAAGATGAATTTCACACTTCACCGTTTTGGGGTATCTCCAAACTGTGTGAATAAGATTAAGAAATTATTGTAAAAGTAGTTTAAGGGGCAAGTTAGTATAGTCATATGTTAAAATTTGTTTTATCTTTTTGTGAAATTGTTATAACCCACTTTAATACCCAAATTTCAATTTTTTTTAAATGCTGATTGACAATTTAATACCAGATGCACTGAAGAACAAAGTAATGCTTCAAATGAAGCAGATATTTAAGGTCAATGCTGTCCCAACTCACGAGTTTTCATTGGCTTTTCCAGGCTTCCAGCATGCAACTTTGTAGTTAAAACAGACGGAAATTGCAAAGCACACAGAACTTTGTACAATGTTTTCAGTTATCTAAGACACTATATTTAAAAAATATAAAGGGTTATTTCGGCTTCGTTGTGATAAGCCCTTGCTGTGTCCAATGACAGAAATGACAGACAATCTCAAAGAGGCCGCTGGGAATTTTTTCCCCTTCTTTTTGCATTAATTCTTTCTATTACTTTAATTGAAAACTGAATTTCGATTTTCAGGTATTTCCTTTGACCCACCCACCCACACAATTTCGAAAAAAGATTGCAAATTTTTAATATTGACTATTCTGAATGGTCCCTAAGGCACTTTTTCGTCATTTTATAATCTCCAATGTTGCTGTCATATCACTTAAGTTGCTGACAATGTTGCTGACAGACAATTTTCTGACAAGGGATTTTCTGTTCAAATGTTGAACCTAAACATTTTCTGTTCAAATTTGGAACCTCCCACTAGGAGGGTTAAATGTCCATGCAAGTAAAGAACACCAGTGTTGTAGGTCTCGAGACCGGTCTAGGTCTCGGTCTCGAGACCACTTTTTGCCGGTCGGTCTCGGTCCGCCTTGAAGGGGCTGGTCACAGTCTCAGTCTCGGTCTCGAAACGTCAGGTCTCGGTCTTGGTCTCGGTCTCGGACTATCTGGTCTCGACTACAACACTAAAGAACACACATCTTGAATCTTTCCTTGCAGGGCATTACGGGCCAGACTGCGTCAGTGCCTGTGATCTGAACATCTGTCAGCATGGCTCGTCCTGTATCCCCTCCAACAACGCCCCCTATGGCTACTACTGTGAGTGCTCGGACCAGTATTACGGGGATCACTGCCAGTATAGGGTGGAGGAATGCGATGAGAATTGGTGGGGTTACAAGATCTGTGGGCCCTGTGAGTGTGATGAGGAGAGAGGTTTCAACTCGGACTGCAACAAAACCACTGGCCAGTGCTACTGTGAGGTGAGTGTGTGACGTGGGTTTATACTCAACTCACAGATGCCTCAACTTAGATGCTGTTTCCCTGGTTTGCAGGATTGCTAATGTTGCTGGCATCGTAAAATAGGGCAAGATGCCTGGCTACATGGCATACATATACGGGAATTTTGTTGGTTATCTTTTTATCCCTTCCTTTACTGAACCTAGAAGAACATGAAAAGTATGCAGTAAAGGAAAGAGTAACAAGATAACCAACAAAATTTGAAATTGTTTTTAAAGAATTTTTTGTTGGAAGATTGCGTTAGAGACAAAATGTTCACACTCTACTTGCACATATACAAAAGTCATTTGTCATAAATTGCATATTTTGTACACATTATCGCTATTTTGTGACAAATAAAGAGTGTGACTGTATAGCTTAGGAATTTTTTGATGGATTAGTCGTTATTTGAGCAAAAGATGCTCAGTGTTTGTTGAGTTAAGCAAAAAAGTATTAGGGACTTTCTTTTTGGTTAAATGTAGGTGTAATACATCTGGTAAGGATAGATTATAACTGTAGGCACATACTGTCGGATGTGCTCATTTGGCTAATGTGGGTAGGCAAAAAAAAAAATTCTCTACAGTTCAAGTTTTTCAGACAAATGGTTCTGATTGTAATTAATCCAAAGAAAGTCTATCAATTTAATATTGAAATTGTTTAGTACCTTTTTTACATTTTAATGTTGATTTTCCATAATATTTTATGTAAAAGCTGAACTAAACATGAAGTAAAAACTGCATGGTTTCCTCGGTCGTGGAAATATCACGGAAAGTCCTGGAATAAAAGTTGTCCCGGAAAGTCATTTGAATCAAGATCATGTAAGGGTCATTTTTGATGGGCCACTTTACGGATGGCTGTAGGGGAGAAGGAGGCCATTATTAATAAAATCTTATTTTCAAAAGTTAACAAATGGTTAGCCTAACATCAGCAGTTCATCAGTATCATAATACCTGAGACATTAGACATTTCAAATTATGACCAAGAAGCCAGCTGACATCTGACATCTGTTTTCTTTGGTCCATCTAGGAATATTCTTACCAACCGGAGAATAGCGACACCTGTTACCCCTGCAACTGTTTCGTGGAGGGGTCCTACGGACCGGAATGTGACCAACAAACCGGGCAGTGTCGCTGCAAGAGGGGTGTCATAGGCAGGGCCTGTGATGCCTGTGTTGACCCTTACGCTGAGGTCTCGCTCAGAGGTTGCGAAGGTTGGTGGAATTTTTATTTTCATAAAAAAATATTCACATTTCTGTTACAGAAAACGTGTCATCTCCGGTACTTATTATTAATGCATATCCAATGTGCATTCATACAAATTCTGCTGCTCACAACATAGCAATACATCGCCGCACCACACTGCGATACGATTGAAAACTCTGCCCTGTTTTTTTCAGCGCGAATCGAAAAATGTGACATGGAAAATACGACAGCACCAAAGCAACTGCACTGGTGATCCTTACCATGGGGCGACTTTTGTCGACAAGAAGTACCCCCCCCTGCTGGTTCCCATGGGCGACTTAAGTCGACCAGGAAACCACACACAGAACACCCTCAACACAGATATATTCACTACTTTTCAGAAAGGCGGCAATGTTGATATGTTTGCCCCCCCCCATACATCAACTATACACCAGCTGAAAGAGTATTTTCGGATCTTTCTATTGGTGTGGTTTATTCATAGTGTTACCATTAAAAAAAAATGAGAAAAGTGCTTCAGAAGTATCCACGCACAATTTGAGGTATGGAGTGCCATTTGGTCATGTGGTGAAATGGCTTGCAGTTTGATAATTGGGACCAGATGGACAAAAAGGCATAATATTCTTATATTTGCATGGATGGACTTCATTTTTACATCACATAAAAGAGTAAGGTTCAAGGAACAAACTTTACACACAACACCTATGAGTTTAATCACTCCTTGGCAGTGAAAATCTGGGTTGAAAAAAGTGAGTTTTGGACTTGTGGTCATTTTGTTGACGCTCTAGTGATTTCCGCATGACTGAGCAAACAATTTGGTTCTGGGGAGAGCCAAGTCAATAAACAATGTGGTAATGAAAGGGTTAACATGGTATAGTCAGTTCCTACAAATTTGCGTCGCAATGAAATTCATCTTTGTAGTAGGAACTGGCCTTTTCATAGATGGAGCGAGTAGCTGTGCCTGACTGTAAGGCATCCTGATGCAATGCACCATGTTCCTATGTTGGCCCAAATAAGAACAGACCATTCAGCAGCAATTGCGGGTAGTTCATACATTCCTATTTGGGAACACCTGGGATGGCCAGGCTGTTCCCAATTAGGAACTGAGTGACCAGTGTAGCGTGAATATCTGACTCCATAAAATATGGACTCATTGGTGGCATTGCGCATGCCAAAGTATGATAATAGCCTATTTAAAGGCCTATGAGCTCCGTGCGCCACCAAAAGAGGGCGCCTTTTACCTTACAACGACGTCCCATGGGCGGGACATTTCGCTGGTTGACGCGCACCGTTCCTTGTGTGTGACGCACGTACATCAGGGGATTTGTTCTATTTACACGCAGTGGCCGCGCTTCGCGGCGAATGAATTGCAGTCAGGCAAGATGGCGTCGGTCGGTCACCCCCAACTGTACTTCCTTTGCCGGTGAGGGGGTACCTGTGAACGAAGCGGATATATAGGAGAGTGACCTGTCACGTGTGAGGGATTAACCAATAATAGGGAAAAGGCATCTGATTTTCATAGGAGTTGGATTTTCATATGACACCGGCAGTGTTCTCAGTTAAAGGGCTGGATTACGCTGTGAACATTCCGCACAGTAGAGCGATAAATCGCTGAGGTTAGAAAACTGAGCAAATTGCCCCCCCCCCCCCAAATGCCACGTGGTGAACTTGCATGCTGACCAATGATAGCATTGGTGGTTATGACATTATGGAGCTAGGACGTGATGCCACCTTAATTAATTTGCATAAGTTAATTTGCATAAGTTAAAGGGAATATACATCATTGGCTTTTGCTGCAATTTTCAGAAATGAATTATTTGAGGGGTTAGTATAATAGATCAAATATTGTTTAACTGACATGTTTGAAGTTTTGTGTTCGAAAATGCTTGAAAAACCAAGAAAAACAAAAATGTTTAAGTAGTCTGGTTCCCTGACTCCACTAAAGATAAAATGGATCAATTTATAGATGTCAGAAAATTGTAAGGTAAGGGAACCAGTCTAGCTGGCCTGCACCCGTTCATGAACATGTAACCAATAGCAAACAAAATTTGAACTGAAAAAATTGTAAATTTGGAGCAGTAGTTGAAAAATAGTTAGGTTTTTTTAACGGTGGTCGGCCGACCACTGTTGGAAATGTATACAAAAATACAATTTTCTTGAAAATTACTTGACACCAGGTGCCATAATTTTAAAGGATGCTTTAGGCTGGCATTTACCAACATCCTAGTGAGCTATTTCGTAAAAACTTGGTAGTTTTATTTTAGATGTTTGGAAATGTTGTATATTCCCTTTAACATAATTCCGCACTGTCGTCCACCCATGTTTAAATATTTACTACCACGCGGTACGCCACTTTCATTACCGCTTCCAAGTTTTAATCAAATCCTTAACAATATGAATCATTCTATTCCTTAACAATATGATTCATTCTATTCCTGAACACTATGAATCATTCTATTCCTTAATGATATGAATCATTCTATTTTTCCAGTGGTGTACGACTCCTGTCCCAAGCGGTACGCCCAGGGGATCTGGTGGCCCAACACCAAGTTCAACCAGGAGGCGGTAGTAGACTGTCCTCAAGGCTCCTTTGGTAAAGCCACAAGGAAATGCTCCTTAGATGACAACTGGCTGCAGCCCAATCTCTTCCAGTGTATGTCCGAGGCATTCCACGCTCTCAAGGAAATGGCAAGTATTTCTCATTAACCCTCCTATGGTAACATGCATTGTCAGCCTTGTTATTACTTGGGTCAATATTGGTCAAGACCCCCATTGGTTTGTACACAGTGTGCCAGAGGTGAGGAAGAAAATTTTGACAATTGGTGACCTATTAAAGGGTTAATAACTGAATCTAGAGTTGAGCATAACATAAGTATCCTACGGTTGTTTTGTAACTGAGCAACAGAATGACGTTCAGTGTTTTTGTGACGTCAAAGAAGTTTGACTGAATCTTTCAGATTCTTAAAGCCGTTTCATACTTTGCACAAATCCAACGTTAAAACATGCAAGGAAATTCAACTTCTTGGAAATAAGATATGTGTGGCTTTTGTGAATTCGCAGAGCTACCACTCGCTGTGATGTAATGTATTCACGTTCATGTTCACCATTTCTCTGAGTATGAAACGGCCTGAGCATGAAAGTTTCTGAAAATTTGCCAACTTAGGTTATACTTTATTCAGTGGAAAATAAAAATATTTGTATAGCTGAAATGTAACAACACTGGCATCTCTATGTTCACATAAATATGCATCACTAAATTTGAAGGGCGCCCTCAGTAGGCCGGGCACAAAGAGGATACCTTCCATTCATATGCAGGATAGAACGATCATTCAGCCCCAACCCATACACGTGTGAAGAACATCTCCAATGTCACACAGCATTTTCCAGGCCTTGCACATCATACACAAGTGCACACATGTTGAATTTTGTCGGCCATAAATCAGTATTGGTCAAAATATAATGGGTGGTGCTTTAACCCTTACCTTCCCAAATCATCCAAAATCCACTTTGCAGAATGGAGGATTTCAAAGGATTCAGGCTATATGGCTAAAATGTGTGACTGGTTTTGTAGGATGCACTGTGTCAAAGTCTTAGGCCGGACCTTGTGTTGTTTATGCTCAACCGTGCATACATTTAGGCCTACTTTATACTTGAAATCCTCCGCACTGCGCCAGGGTGTCGCTGGCTCTGCCTCAACATATTGACAGTGATAGCCGGAGGTTTTTGCAGGATTCAGGCATTGGTCAACCCTCCAAGGACCACATTCAAGAAATTATGGATGATTTTGGAAGACTGAGGCTATATGCATTTTCTACATGGAGGCAGTTGCATCCTAGAAAAAATGCCTAGGGAGTTAGGGTTAATAGATGCAGTCCATTATAAACCACGTTATTGTGTTGATGTTATTATTAATTTTAATTTTTTTTTTTTCCCCACCCACTAGCTTGCTGAGCTTCGGCACGTCAAGCGGCTGAACCCAGACCTGTCCTTCTCGGCAGTGGAGAAGGTTCACCAGGCGACTGAAGACACAGACAAGATGTACGGAGCCGACGTCAACATCACATACGACATCTTGGTGCTGGTACTGAACCATGAGAGCAAGCAGGAGGGTCTGAATGTGACCGCTGCCATCAGGAGCTCATTCACTAGGGTGAGATGATCTAGATTAGAATTAGGCTTGGACGATATTCCAATAGTGACGATATTTTTGGATACCGAACAATAATGTTGTTTTAAATTCCAAAATACCGAAAAGCTTGGTATGGAATTCCAATACCACAATATTCTCTCTAACATGTGGCCATTTGTGTGCAAAAGCCCTTTAGTTTTGCACTATATGGATAAGATTTATACAATATACGCTCGATCAAACTTAAAGGGAAAATACAACATTTGCAAACATCAAAAAATAAAACTACCAAATCATTTTGAAATCCCTTGCTGGACTGTTAGTGAATGACAGTGTAAAGCATCCTGTAAAATCATGGCACCTGGTATACTGTCATTTTCAAGAAAAGTGGTATATTTGTATCAATTTCCAACGCTGGTCGGCCAACCAGTGTTGGAAAAAAAACTGGCTTTTTTCAAATACTGACCCCAATTGACCATCGAACTTGTTTGCAATCGATTACACACCTATGAATGGGTACAAGCCAGCTAGACTGGTTCCCTGACCTTACAATTCCCCAATGTATGTAAACTGCTCTGTTTCTTCTTATATGGAGTCAGGGAACCAGACTACAGGAAAATGATTGTTTTTCTTTGTTTTTATAGCATTTTCGAACCCAAAACCTCAAAAAAAGTCAGTGTAACTATTTCTTGCTATATATTTCCAACCGCCCAATTCCATCCATTTCTGAAAATTACAGCAAAAGCAAATGATGTATATTCCCTTTAAGTTTTCTACATACACTGACGGGATTCAAAATGATGTTTAAAAGCTAATTGTACTGGTATGCAAGTCACAGATCATTGTGCATATGCTGCTGCATGGTGATCGTCATGCTAACGCAGTACACCAATGTATGTATTGTACTTTCAGTGGCAATGTACTGGGTACATGTACGTAACGTAACGCTAGCACATGTGGTATTGTGACGTGAGTAGCATGGTGTATTGCGATCGTGTCAGATTTCTCCAGCCCTCAAGCAAAAACCCAGGGGTATCCCTGTATTCTTTTCCAGTTCAGTTACTCAAAAGTAGCTCTCCAGTCACATGTGACTCATTTTGTTGGGTTTTGTCACAAATTGGATTAACATTGACCTAAAGATATAATGGGATTTAAAATAAACTTACTGAATAAATAGAAAAAAAAGAGTGACTTGGGATTTAGAAAAATTAGATTGATCGTAATTTAGAACTAAATGGGATTAATAGAAGTGGTGAATTTAAGATGGATTAAGAGCAGAATTGATTCTAAATTAAATGCGGATTTAAGTGTGATTGGATTTAGATCTTTTGTATTCATTCCAGGATAAAAATGCAATGATAACTGTCCCTATTGGCCCAACTTTCTAAGATTTCAGTCAGCAATTCCCATTCACAATGTTGTAAGTGAATGACGGTATTGATACAGTATATATGAATGCATAGAAATTTCATGTGAGCTTTTCGCATTTGTTGGCAAAAAGTTTCATGAGCATCGTTGACTTCCTTTAATCCACTTTCTTTTCTCCTGTAGAAAATTGTTGAGATTGCTAGTCGTCTGCTGGACCCTGACAACAAGGCTCACTGGGCCGTGATCCAGAAGAGTTCAAAGGGCGTGTCAGAGGTCATATCGTCGCTAGAGGCCTTTGGTGCTAACATAGCCAGAACGTCGGACTACACCTACACCCCAGAGTTCTCCATCGTTACGCCTAATATTGGTAAGAGACAACTCCCTTGAACATTGCACAATTTAATAAACCTTTCAATCGACCTGTCGGGGTAAAATCGCATCAACACACCTTCTGAAATAATGTCCAATTACATGATATACAAATGGACGCAGAACGTGCAAAATGTGAGGCAACAAAACTTAGTGTACAAAAACTCCATCTAAGGGGTGTGGCTAACTCGCAAACGGCGCTCGCAAACGGTGCTCGCAAACGGCGCTAGGTCAATTCATATGTGTGGAATTGGAGTAGGGACAGAGTAGTTCTGAAAACATATCAGATAAGATTTTAAGATTTACAAAAAAGTAAGCAGTACTACTATACCTCATACATATTCATAAGCGAGAGCCGAATTCCTACTGGTCTATTCACCATTTCGTGGCAACCGCTAGTTTTGCTATTTACCAAATGCACACGTGAGGATTCACGCAAACAGTAAATATGCCTGTGCAGTGGACTATCGCATGGGTTATCCGTGCCATAGTCTACTTTGAATGCAGTTTATTTAGCTATTGTGGAACTATCTCATTGGGGAAGTGGCTTTCACAAACATCGCCCTAATTACATGTAAAGATGGCAGTTCACATGCGGCATACGTTAAATATGCCTGTGCAGTGGACTATCGCAGGGGTTATCTGTGCCATAGTCTACTACGCATGCAGTTTATTAAGCCATTTTGGAACTATCTCATGAGGGTAGTGTGCTTTCACGAACATCGTCCTATGTAAAGATGGTGGCACACACACAGCCACATTTTGCCAAAATACCTGATGTATAACTTGACAAAAGCAACCTCGCATTGAAGCAACGTTAATGCATATTGTCAGCATGCAATTTACACTGTGAACCCAAGATGTCTGAAATCACTTTGAGATGAAATGGCTGAAATTTCCGCAACGGGTATATACATCTAGAGCTTCATACCTGCACAGTGTATTGAATTTATGTGAGAGTTACAGACATTTTGTCCCAAGGGGTAAGATTACAGACATTGTTGAGCTTCAAAAGTTAATGTTTTGAAAAAGCTGACCGTTGTTTGTAACATCTGGTCTCGTTAGTGATGCACCACGATATTATCGTTCGAGAGGACTTCAACTCGACAGTCATCCCCAAGTACGAGGTGGAGCAATGGGAGGAAGGAATCGAACGAGACACTACCCGCATCCACATCCCAGACGATGCCATCCAACCCAAACCTGAACTGGAGGATCCCTCCATGATCTCCATCGAGGGAAACGTAGCCGTCACCTCCTATATCAAGTACAACACAGTGGGACAGCTCCTGCCCAACCAATCGGATATCACCATTAAGTAAGTCACTTGTGGAGAAATATGGAAATGTCTTGGTCTAAGGTCTAGTCTTGGTCTGAACTAGATTTGGATTTTATTCCCCTAAAAGCACAGCTGGTCTCTGGCAAGCGCGATCAAGCCACTGGTTGTTATTAACCAGTTCGCATCTGAGGACGTGATAACACGCACTGGCTTTGTTTATACACAGGCACGGCTGACGGGTTAAAACGTCAAGATTGCATGGACTCGCCTCCGGGTGACGTCTAAACATGCAAATCCCTCATGCCTTTTGTACACACACACAAAGTCTGTGAAGTCTGCGGAGGCGGACCATGCGTTGATCTTGAATTGGCCGTTGTGCACGGCCTATTGTTCTAGAATTTACGCTCCAGTGCACACCCAGGAGTATTGAAACATATGAGGTTTCGACAAGAAATATCACACAAATACTGTTGAAATGACTCCTATGAATCAGTATTTGTGGCGTTTGGCTGTATATCAGAAGTTGGCTGGAAAATTTTGGCCGAAAATTTTTGCGAAAATTGAAATTTTCGGCAAACATAATCCCGGCGCAAAGTGCTTCAGGATGAATCAAATCCAGACTTGGGAAGTTCAACAGCACTTCCCAGAAACTTCTGAGCATACCTCTTGTCAAGCTAATACAGGCGCGTGAGGTGTGCTCAGAATTAGCTTGAAAGCACTGCCAAAATAATTATCAATGGTGAATTATTTACTATTATGATTTTTTCTTTGTTACTGTTTAGGCCATCTGAGGGTGCCGTTGGTCAAGTCATCAACTCACCTGTCATCTCACTGACACTCTACGATCACCTAGCCAGCGAGGGTAGCACCAACAACCTACCAACCCCCATCCTCCTGGAGATAACCACGCTGGGTGCCAGCGTACTCGACCCACAATGTATCTTCTGGAACTTCTCCTTGTAAGTTTGCGATTCAGTAGACGTAATGGCTCATTTACATGTAGATAGTAAGAGAGTCTGAGTTTAACGCATAACGCAATACGAACAAATTCACGGTTACAGAAAAGCTGCTGTTCGTGGTACGGGCTCCATGCAAGAGTACCCCCTCAACATTATGAAAGGGCAATTGGGGGAGACCACTGGGGCATTAAAACGCATTGCAGTCGACGTCTGCGGTCGCGCGAAGCTGCTATGGCTTTGTGTACTTTCAGAATAAAATCAGTTGTGCATACTATACGTGCGTGAACCAGTATGCGCAAGTGGTTTGTCCCGTCCACTGGGTGCGTGAAAGTAGTTAAAAAGCGGCCTCTCTTGGTTGCGCATGGAGCCCATATTCTGCTGTAAATGTTGTGCATCTAAAGAAAATCTACATCCGTAGATGTTGGCAGAGGGTATTCATATTGCGTGGTTTTCATATGTTTTTCAGTTATCCACATGTCCTCAATTGTTGACATGCTGCACCACATAAACCAGTGTTGTAGTGGAGTACTTTTTTCCGAGTACCGAGTACTGCCGAGTACTTAGGTTACTGAGTACGAGTACCAGTCCTTGTGTTTCCAAGTACAAGTTAAGAAAATCGAAATTTGCTGCTCGAGTACAAGTACCCTCTTTTCGAGTACGAGTACTTTGACATTCGAGTAGGAGTACGAGTACGAGTACTCCAAAAAAGTACTCGAGTACGAGTACCGAGTACGAGTACTACAACACTGACACAAATGCATTTGGAAGCCTCATAATATATTATAGTCATTTCCATTGCAGTCAAAATCAAACCTACGTTGCTTGTGGGTTTCAACTTGCAACTGATATGCTGCGAAAATAGCCTCTCGGTGATAACCTTTTGGTGTTGAATTGTAGTGTGAATCGCTTCGTTTCTCTTGATGAAAGTTTGAATTCAAAGCAGTTACATGTATGTCTGTTATGCCCCTCTCAGGTTTGACGGTGTAGGTGGCTGGTCCACTAAAGGTTGCTCAGTCAGTTCCTTCAATGACACCCACGTCAACTGTTCCTGCAACCATCTCACCAACTTTGCTGTCATGGTGGACAATGCAAATCCTGTTGTAAGTATTCCTCCTAGGTATCCTTCCTATTATCATTATGCTCTAATAGAAACAATTTCTAATTGATACTTGATACTTCTAATTGATAGTTTACAAATGTATGAGCCTATGTATGGGCATATTTATGGTACTGCACTGATAAAGTTAATAAATATGTATGAGGTGAAATACTTATTACTGTATTGATAGCATTCATGAATATACATGAGATGAAATGCTCACTGTACTCCATGGACATATCTTGACCATGTGCAGGAGTTTGTGCAGCAGCCATTGTCCCTCCCATAGTCTCCTATGTAGGTCTGGGTTTGTCCATCATTGTCATGAATATGTATGAGGTGCAGTAATCACTGACTTGTCTTGACCTTTTGCAGAAGGAGTTTGCGCAGCAGCCATTGTCCCTCCCATAGTCTACTACATGTACAAATGTATGTAGGTCTGGGCGTGTCCATTTTTGCCATGAATATGTATGAGGTGCAGTAATCACTGACTTGTCTTGACCATTTGCAGAAGGCGTTTGGGCAGCAACCATTGGCCCTGCAGATTGTCTCCTACATCGGTCTGGGCGTGTCCATCTTTGCCATGAATATGTATAAGGTGCAATATTCACAGACTTGTCTTGACCATTTGCAGAAGGCGTTTGGGCAGCAACCATTGGCCCTGCAGATTGTCTCCTACATCGGTCTGGGCGTGTCCATCTTTGCCATGAATATGTATAAGGTGCAATATTCACTGACTTGTCTTGACCATTTGCAGAAGGCGTTTGGGCAGCAACCATTGGCCCTGCAGATTGTCTCCTACATCGGTCTGGGTGTGTCCATCATTGTCATGAATATGTATGAGGTGCAATAATCACTGACTTGTCTTGACCATTTGCAGAAGGTGTTTGGGCAGCAGCCATTGGCCCTGCAGATTGTCTCCTACATCGGTCTGGGCGTGTCCATCTTTGCCCTGGTCTTCACCTTCTTCACGCTGCTGTGCATTCCCAGCCTGCATTGCAACCTGAACAGCATCCACGTCAATCTGGTCTTCACGCTCATCACGGCCGAAGTCACTTTCCTTGTCGGAATCAACACCGAGAATAATGTAAGGCTGGTTTTCTTGTACTTACTACAATCAATCATGTAAGGCTACCTACTAAGTTACATTGAGTTTTGACTACATGTTGGTAGGTTAGTCCCCCTTCAATGAATGGACCCTTCTTACCTGTCAACTGGTACGTATTGACCAATTGGATCAAGGCTTTTAGTTATTTGACCATGGTCGGTTAAACCCGCCCACAAGCACTGTGAAAGCTGTACACAAACCAAAGGTGGGCAGGGCTTATGACTGAATTCAGAACAGTCAACTACTCGATTTCCTGCTTAAATGTAAATTGCATTGCAGCTAACACAAGTCCCATAGGCGTTGTATGCATACCCTCTTCAGTAAGTAGCCGAGCTAAACATGGAGTTGGAATCATAGATGTGTCGAATTTTGACACAATATTCCTCCTGTACATGTTTGAAACGAACACGCAGACAATGAACAAAGCATCATTGTACATATCAGCTCAATCATTGTGGGTCCGAAATTTGTAAGTCCATTTTTGTAATTGTGCAATTTTAGCCTCAGTGTGTAATAGTCATCATGACATCTTCTCATCACAACTTGTTCCTACCCACAGATTGCCTGTACCATCGTAGCCATCCTCCTCCATTACGCGCTCCTCAGCGCCTTTGGCTGGATGTTCATTGAGGGCATCCACCTGTACCGCATGATGACTGAAGTCCGTAACATCAACCAGGGGCCCATGACCTACTACTACGTGATTGCCTACGGCCTGCCGGGTCTCATCGTAGGCCTGGCGGTGCCGCTGAGTGAAGCCAACTACGGCCAGCAAGTCAACGTCAACAATCAACACTTGTGAGTTCAATAACGGGTTGTTGGTTTATTATTTATTTATTTCTGGCAATGAAACCAAAGATTCCCTCAAAAGCATCCTTGGCACCGTAGCTCACAGCCTGAAGAAACCTATGGAGTGTCATGGCCTAGCGGTTAAGAACACAGGACTCATGTTCTGGTGTTTCAGAGGCAACAGTGACGTGGGTTCGAGCCTGGGCGCGGACACTTGTGCCCTTAAGCAAGGCACTTAACCATTATTGCTTCGTCCTTCGGATGGGACGTGAAGCCGTAGGTCATGTGTGTTGTATAATGTCTAATGCACGTTAAAGAACCCAGTACACTTATCGCTAAGAGAAGGGGTTCGCCCCGGTGTTTCTGGCAGTGCGATTATCTTCAGCCATGAAGTCTGCACTTGTAAGGAAGAAGAAAAAGAAGGAGAGAAAACAATGAAGACAGATTCAGTTTTCAAGGTGGGAGGAGAAACCCTAAAGAAGGTTGTGGGGGAACCCACACATTCATGTAGGGACTAAAAACTCAATCCACATATGTATCTGGGATGGATTCGAACCCGGGCAATAGAGGTGGAAGGAGAGGTTAGGACCACTGCACCAACTTGACTCTCCACTGTTTTATCCTTTGCTGCCTTAAGTTCATGAGCTCTTTATACACAGTGCTGTCCGTGGGCTTGGCGATAAAATATTCACATGCTTACTCGGGTGGGACTCGAACCCTTGACTTCCTAGTGCAGACCACCGACCTTGGTGGGAGTTAACTTGCCAGTTCAAATCTGACGTAGCAGTGGGTAACACTTTGAGTGTCACACCGGAATCTAGTGCCACTTTTTTTAACTGTCACGGTTCCTTCTTAAATGTAAAATATTTCTCTTTCCTCAGTTGCTGGCTGTCGATTGAAGATATCCTGATCTGGAGTTTTGCTGGGCCTGTGCTGGCTGTCGTGGTGGTAAGTACCTTAATAATCATGCCAACCACAGCAAATTTCTTATTAGTCACAGAGTTTTATGAGGCGGTTCACCATACATTTTACATTGTCATTTTGTGATTTTGTTTCACTAACAGTTCTCTTACTCCCCGTAATGATTTGCATTTTTCATCTTGCCCTTTCAGATGAACCTAGCCGTGTTCTTCCTGGCAATAAGGGTCACTCTCACAGGCAAAACCAAAAACCCGGAATTCCAAAACACCAAGTAAGTCCATCGTTACAAAAGATATATATACCTTACAACTCCTATTGCTCGTCTTCTTAGAAACTATGAATTTCTGTCTGTTGTTTATTTATTCAGTGCGTATAACAGAGGAGCAAAGATTTGTCCTGCACTCACTGCATGGGAATTATTCAGTGTCATTTTTGTACATTTAAAAAAAACCTGGAAAATAGTGCATAAAGTGACCTAGAAATTTTCCAGACAGTTTCCCACCAAAAACAAAACACTTGTTACCACTCATTACCTATTACATAATTTATTCATAACACCCTTTGAATATGTATGGACCAAGTTGTGAGGATATACACATATGACAAAATTATGGTCAGTAAAATGCCATTTCTTATTTCACCATGTATTTGAAATAACTGGAGTAATTACAAGTACCCTTGTTTGATTTCCCCCGATTCATTGATGTCTACTTGACTCTTTAGGCCTCTATGGTAAGTATAGCAGACATTTTGTCCCACTTGATTGTAATAAGTTTGCATTTGTGTTTGCCAGCCGTCCCGAATGTTTGTGCATAAAACTGCATTTTGAAGGGAAAAGCAGACAAATTACATAAAACACTTTCACTGATGCTTGAAAGTTTCTCCCGCATATCTCAAAAACTAGTCTTCCTTTAAAATTGATTCCTTAAAAAGACACTCCTAAATAACTTTGTAACAAGTGATATTGGCGATGCATGGCACGCTTCCCAAAAAAATGTTGATTTTTTTAAAGTTGTCAAAGTTGTCCGACACGTTTGTTTTTGATAAAAAAAAAAATGTGTAAAGCACCCAGTCTCAAAGTTTCCACAGTTGTGAATGCCAGCCGTTTAAAACTGCATGTACATGTATGAGTATCCAGAACCCGCTTGCTATAAAGAACACAGCCATGTAAATGATGTCTGAAAGCCCCTTCCAAACTGCAGTGTTGAAGACAAAAATAGTACAGCTTTATTTTCTGCATTTGTTGTTGAACCCCAGTTGTTTCCGCTCAAGAGAAATCCTCGATTCGAGTCGCTGTGGTTTCGAATCTTTTTGAGATGCCACGTTAAAAATGATCCCCTTAATGAAACGTATCATTGTGTGCGCCATTGCAAACTGAAAGAGCATGTAGCATGCAGGAATTTCACTTGATCAAGTGCGCAATATTCCTGGGTAACATGAAGTGTGGTAAAGTGACTTGCCCAAGGACGCCAGCATAATTAATCCAATGTGGGATCGAACCCACTTTCTTAAAGACCACCACAAAAATGCAAACTGTTTTCCCATAAAGCATCATCATTACTCCAAGGCCATACATCCTCCAACCCATGAATCCATAGCCTAATCAACCATGTTATAGTCTTGCTAAGAAGAAGAAAGCGTGGTAAAGTGTTCTGCCCAAGAACACAAGCACCGTAATCCTCATGTCTCAGCGCTTGGTGAAATCCAGTGCTGGTCTTCATTTCATGACCCTTAATTCTCATGTCTCCTGCTATGGCTTGTCTGTGATAGGTCGGGGCTTCGCTCAGCAGGCATCCTCCTACCTCTACTAGGCATCACCTGGGTCTTTGGTCTACTCGCTGTCAATCAAGACATGGTGCTCTATCAGTACCTCTTTGCTGCCTTCAACTGCCTGCTGGGATTCTTCATCTTCCTCTTCCATTGTATCCTCAACTCCAAGGTAAGGATGTATTGACTTAGGAACAGTAGATCAGGCTGTGTGACCACTCACGAGAGCTCCAGTGTGCAGCACACACAGTACTCTGTCACTGCTTCAGCTGGTATGGCACGACAAAAGTGGCACATTTTCAATACAGGGCTGGAGTTTCTGATAAGAAAATAGCTTCTAGACTACAGGGTAAGCTAAAAAAAAAATTAAAGATAAGATTCAAAGGTTTGTATGGTGAAGGTAGCAATCACATAAAGGTTTCTGGTAGCAACATGTGACAAATGTCTTTTGTGAGTTGCGAGGTTCTGAAAAAAACCGGGGGGAAAATCAACGTTTTGGACAGTATGCTCTGCCCATCGTCAGGAGACACTGGATGACGGGCAGAGTAATCGTCCGAAACATTGAGTTTGCCCCTGGTTCTTTTCAGAGCCTCACAAACTCACAAAAGACATTTGTCACATGTTGCTACCATATACCTTTATCTTATTGTATGTAAAGACTTTTGCCAACATAAGACAATCAGTCATTTGCAGCGAAAAGGTGTATATTTTCCAAAACGTTTAGAAATTGTACAAGAACACTTTTGTTCTTTGTTACCAATAATAAATGGGAAAACAGAAGTATACAGAGCCATTTTGGACGTGAACTATAGTTAACCATAGTTCGACTAACTTTGCTCCTTCGTTCCTGTCTTTCGAATTTCATCAAAATAAAAAAAATACTGGAAATTACCATAGAAATGTGCTTACTTGGAGGATCAGTTGCTCTTTTATCTGGCTTGGGAAGGGGTCTAGCCAAATCCAGTGAATTGAATGCTCATTAAATGTAAGTCAACAATCTTGCATTGCGTCTTGCCTAGGTACGGAGGGAATGGATGCGTTGCTGCCTGGGGATCCAGGGCAAGAAGGTTCAGTTTGATGAGAGTGTCAATACCTCGGTAAGTTAACGATCACGTGCATCTAACCAAAAATGGCTTATATATATACAGCAAGCTACACAGGGAGGTTTTCCAAACCCTGGCTTTGTCTCTGGTCTTAGCTGCAGTTGTTATAGGTGTCCAATGTAGAGGATTTTGACTCCAATATAGCCATCATACTGTGTAATTTGAGGGAAAGTTCAGAGTAATTCCAATTAATTTGGACATAAGGGCTTTAAAAAACAAAGGGAATACCTGTCACAACCCACATCAGGGTTCAAATTACCTCAAGGTTATATTCAGTAGGAAGAAACTGCCGATTTCAGTTGAACAAAGAAATTTGGCTTGAGGCATATTAAAACTTATAATCCTCTGAGTACTCTAAAAGTGTTTTTTACCATCTGAGTTATCCAGCATTATAGTTCACGGTGTAAACCTCTGGGCCCAATTTCATAGAGCTGCTTAAGCGCAAAATTTGCTTAAGCACGAAAAAACATTGCTTGGTAAAATTAGGTTACCGGCCAAAACTCCAAGTGATGTACATTGTTTGTGACTGGTATTTAGCTGTTGTTTACTTAGCATAACAATTGCACGGAGTTTTAAAATTGGTGGGTAACCTGATTATATTAAGCACGTTTTTTTTGTGCTTAAGCAAATTTTGTACTTAAGCAGCTCTATGAAATTGGCCCCTGTTCAGGCCACCATTCGCATCGATTGTAGTCAGCCTTTACTCTGCTGCAAGGTTTTGCGTGTGTTCCTGCCAGTCATAAATTCCATTTAATGGACTAATGGGGTCTATCCTACACACCGTACTGTGCTGTGCCCCGTGCCATTGTGACACAAATAATGTGCAAAGTGGTTATTGACCGACATAAGTGATGTTGCAGTCATTTAATTACATGATTGTTCTAGTCCTATGAAGTTACAGTATTCAAGACATGATGTAATAATGGTGGTCTTTCTATGTTTATATCTCAGCGCTCAGCGTTGTCGTACAGCAAGACCGATGGTCAGTTCCGTCACCACATCGGCATCTCCACAGGCTCCATTGGCAGCAGTCATGGCAGCCGCAGCACCAAAGCCAGCAACAGGTGGGTTCATTATCAACTTCTTGTGGAACCCTGGTTGTGTCCTTGAGCAGTGCACTTTACCATGATTGCTTGTGTTGAACCTTCTCTGTTCTCACTTCTTTCCAGCATTTTCGTGACCTTTAATCCATTATTTGAAACAGAATGTTGCTTTTCCGAGTGTTTTGATTAAATAAATGTGCGATCCTCTTTTTTTTGAAAGAAAAAAATTAATCCAGTTCATTTTCCTACCTCAGGCCCGAGGGCTATCTACGCAACACGGCCAGTACATCCACAACATCGCCATCCAACCACGAATACGTTCCATCTTACTACAACTACAAACCCAAAGTCACCAATCTCGACGGTAAGTTTCTACATTTCTGAAAACCAAACAAGAAATTCCTCTAATTCTCAAAAGGTCTTCAAAAATGAGACGGTGTCACAAAGTAGGTGCCCATTGGGACAAAAATATTGGGATAATAGGGTTTGCTTTGGGGTGATATGGTATATGCACTGATGGGAAGAGGCTTAGCTTTATTGACTCCGTGCACAAACAAGAAATGGCGCTGTTTGGTCACTTATGAGAGCTCCATTGGGAAGGACGCACTGCGTGTGCGCACTGATTACTTGCATGTAGTATGCGTCGTTAATTCTATTCACAAACTCGTGTGAGCGTCGGGCGCCTTCAGCAATGCGTCTTAGTGATCTTCTGAGTGGTCTCCCCCAACTCTCCCTTTATAACCATTGAGGGGGTGCTTTTGCACGGAGTCTATACACCCTTTGGGTTCATTTTTGCACTCTTTGGAAAATAAAACCTCAGTTTTTGACATCATTGAACATGTACAAACCATAGGTCATATGATAAAATACAGACATTTGGAAGTAGGCCAATACTTACAGATATACTTTTAGATGAAAGATCTCGACAGCTTTTGTTCTGAAAAGAAAAAACAATTAAAAGTCTGGTATCCTTTTTCAAAAGCCAAAGACACTCAGGCAACCTTTGGGTTGAAACAGGGCACCAGACTTGGAGATGAATTTCAATTATGACTTGATTAACATTGAGCTAGTTTTCGCAGAATTTATTGCAAACAGACTGAAGTTATAACCTCGTGTGGAAATGACATTTCTCCAAATCTCTTCATCCCATGATCAATACCACTAACACATTTATTGATTAACGTCTCTATAGTCAATACTCTGTGGTGTCTTTTGGCTTCCATTATTTTGGCTTAAATGTTTAAACAGAGAATCCAGCTGATGCATGTCCGTGCGTGAAATGCTGCAGTGTGTGGAATTTTTGAGAGAATGCCTACCACATGGTTGTGAAAAGTTTGCTTCTCTGTGGACCAATTCATGAAGTCTTTTAAAAAGCACTTTCAACCAATCTTAGCAAACCAAGAAAGTAGTCTCGACCAACAATATTTCAATGCTCCTGTCCTGATAGGTTCTGCATAGAAACAATTATTACAAGAAGTTTTTCTCATCCAAGTGCGCAACAGTTTGTGTGAATGAATTCGTTACTTTGATAATCTTTCATATTAAATTTTCAAATTTTGTAGGAAAAATTAGAGTGTATATAAGTTATCTTATTAATTACCAAAAAAACCTTCTTTCTTTTTTACACTTTCCAACCTTCAGCAATACAATATTTACCTTTAATTTTTTGCTGGACGCAAATGGCCAGTCTATCGTCCTCTAGCTGACCGAGTCACTGAACGACTGATTCACTGACTAGAAGACTGGAGTATAGATCATGTATAAATCAAGTGACACTCATCTAGACATTGTTCTTTATGTCGCATCATTTAAGCCAAGGCCAGTGACAACATAATACTGTTTTTAATGGGACCAACTAATCCATTTCTTCAGTGCATGTATGCATGACGGTCCGTTATTAACCTTATACTACCCACAGATCCTGATAACTTGACTCTACTCAATCCTCAACGAAACAACCTACTAGGTAAGGTTCTCACCCCTGACCCTTAACCCCTGACCCTTAACCCCTGACCCTTGACCCTGTATTGTATCCATGGATGCTTCACGGCTCCAGTTTACATTATAAATCTGTGATTTACAGTCAATAAGCGCTGGTGTTCTGATGCTGTTAATTGAGGTGCCCAGTAAAATAGATTTTTATCGCAGACTAGTAGTTTGTTCCAGTCACCAAATGTCAAACTAATAAATTACACAAAAGGTAGCAAAGTCAATTTTATTTTTCAACTCCTCAATTGAACTAACTCCTTGATATTCTCACCGGGTTGAAAGTGTGTAAAAAATTGTACACCACTGTTAGTTTCTCCTAACTTGCAAACAAATGCTAATTCTCAGAATAACAACATCCACTTTTACCTCACAAACCCAAGCCTGAAGAAGTTTCTTCTTTGATTGTATCATAAATGTACAATCCTCTCCCTGACCCCCAAACTTGTGCTTGGCTGGCAGTTTTAAAGTTGCGTTCCCCGTGCTATTTTCAAGTTTCACCTTTTTCAAACAATTTTTTTTTAAATTGTTGTTCACCTAGCAATATGAAAGTTATTCTCTTTTGAATGAGACATCGACTGAAAAAAAATATGCCCATATTTAGTTATTAAATTAATTAGTTATTTAGTTATTAGAAATTTGAATTATTAGCTGTCAGACAATAATTAGGCTCACTCAGGGAGGGTCGTTTGTGCAATGAAAGTCTTTCAGGGGGTTGCAGATGCCCAAAAGTTTTTCCGTTAAAGCAAAAGTTGAAAATTCATTAGTTGAAAAAAAACCCACCAATTTTTATGAAGAGCACGGGGTACGCAACTGTAACTGTGCAACCAACCGACCAACCAACCAGCAGGCCTCTGATTGCGGCTGTGTGTCATCCAGCACATAGCAAACTAAACCTGATAAGTTATGCATTCCCTTCCTCGGCATCTCTAGAACCTTTATTGCATCCCCTGAATTGAAACCAAAAGTCCTTCCAGAAAGATGCTTTCAGGTATTTTGGTAAAAAGGAATGTCCTTTTTTTTTCCATCGCAAGCAATAATTTATTCGTTATTCATTTATTTTTATGCAAAATTTATATTTGACATATTTTCCTATTTGTAAATTCTGCATGGGTGACTAAACAAAAGCGAGAAAATTGGATTCCACAGTTATTATTCATTTTAATTTTGAGTCAAAGAATTAATTGAATATCCCTATGAAAGGAAATTCATATAAACTCATTTCCTTGACACTAAGACGTTTTCCTTTTTTAATGAATGAGTTTAAAAACAAGCATTATTCCTTTAAAACCAACGTTTCTTGACAAAGCCTGTCCCTATGCACTGCTGGACCTATTTAATATTCCTTAACCTATGCATTTATCCTGAAAGCTCATAGAATGTCTTAAGAAAGTCATCCACATCATTCCTCAGCTTCTAGCCATGAAACATGGGAGTTTTCTCCGTATCAACAGAAGTTTTTTCTCCTGACCTTGTCATATAATATAAATCATAGTCTCCTAATGGATAACCATTGTGCAGTAGTTTGGTATTAGCAATACTTGACCACCATACTAACACTTTTCACCTTCATTCCCTCCACCCCATTGTCACCTCACCATCCACTCACCTATACCTCCATCCACCATTTGCTGCTTGCATTTACGGCTTGCATAGACTGGGATTATGACTTTAGTGGCAGCCATACAGCCACACTGAGCAATAGCTGCAATAATAGTCGTAGTCAGAGTTGTGTTAGCCAGGGCCGGCGGAGTCAGCGAAGCCGGCGCAGCCGTGGTAAGATCAGTGGATGTCTGTGTCTAGTGGATGTCTAGTGGATGTTGTGGAACAGTGTTTATACAGTAGCTGACATTGCTTGTTTTTGCATGCCGTTGCTGATAGTGAAATTGGTTTGTGTTTACTACAAAGGTCAAACCCAAGTTAAGAACAGATTGTAAGATATTCGGTTGCATTATTTGCTTTTTGGTTTAATTTTCCAGAGTATATGTAAGATTTGAAGATTTGGTGTCGGGTCTGAATATTTGAGATAAGATATGAATATTTTGGGTCAGATCTAAAGATTTTAGGACAGATATTAAGTTCTGAGGTCAGATGTTGGGTGGCATTTTTTGCTTTCTGGTTTGATTGTCCGGAATATGAGTGAAATTTGGTCTCAAATCCTAATATTTGGGATCAGATCCAAGGATTTGAGGTCAAATATTGAGATATAGTGTTATCTGAAGATTTGGGGATCATCTGAAAATTTGGAGGTCATATCTGAAGATATGGGGTCAGATCTGAAGAATTTGGGTCAGATGTGATAATTTGCAGTCATATCTGAACATTTGCGGTCAGATCTAACAATTCAGGGGTCACATTTGAAGATGTTGGGACGGATATGAATACGTATTTGAGGACCTGAAGATTTTAGGTCGATTTTTACAGAACATTGAAAATCTGTTTTAACCCTTGGTAAGTCGCCTTTTTTGTGATCATTTATACCGATTTTTTTGTTTGTTTCAGTTTTAAATCTTTTATAGAGCTTTTATCCAACTTGCAAATATTGCATTCTTTCACCTTTTAATACTGCAATATCTTATGACATCATCATCTTTAATGAATGTTGCATGCATTTTCATTAATGTCACTACAGATTTTATTTTGGATCAAGTTTTCCATGTTATTATAAATTTTCTTTTTGCACGCTCTGTTTCGCACAATGTGCTCGTTCCATCCTTAACTCATACAAGTGTTTCATTTGCGATACCTTAATTATGCATGGAGGCATCTTTTGACAGGATTTTATTAACTTAGACTTCAGATATTGTTAGACAAACACTCAGACATTTCCCATCGAATTAAATATTACAATTCATTTTCATTTGCCAATCCATAACTGCTTTCATGAACCTCCGTGTCCATGTGATAACACTTCACAAAATAAGAATTCACTAGAATTTAAAAAGCTGCACTATCCTGTTGGTAAGTGACTGCATCATACACGCACGCCCACCACTGATTACTAGCGCCCACCACTGATTACTAGCGCCCACCACCGATTACTAGCGCCCACCACCGATTACTAGCGCCCACCACCGATTACTAGCGCCCACCACCGATTACTAGCGCCCACCACTGATTACCAGCGCCCACCACTGATTACTAGCGCCCACCACTGATTACCAGCGCCCACCACTGATTACCAGCGCCCACCACTGATTACCAGCGCCCACCACTGATTACCAGCGCCCACCACTGATTACTAGCGCCCACCACTGATTACTAGCGCCCACCACTGATTACTAGCGCCCACCACTGATTACTAGCGCCCACCACTGATTACTAGCGCCCACCACTGATTACTAGCGCCCACCACTGATTACTAGCGCCCACCACTGATTACTAGCGCCCACCACTGATTACTAGCGCCCACCACTGATTACTAGCGCCCACCACTGATTACTAGCGCCCACCACTGATTACTAGCGCCCAACACCGATTACTAGCGCCCACCACCGATTACTAGCGCCCACGTAACTAGCGCCCACCACCGATTACTAGCGCCCACCACCGATTACTAGCGCCCACCACTGATTACTAGCGCCCATTTGCTAAAGACCCAACTTTGCAATCCTTCCGGTTCCATTGGTTCCAATGCTACACCGTGTGCAGTGAGCATGGTTAAGTTGAAATGATGTCACACTTACTAACCGGATATAGTGTGTGTTCACCCCGGCGAACATACAAACAGCCTTGAGTCTCATTTTCTTGAACCTATGCACGTCATGATCAACTGTCTACGAACCGGATTTGGATTCTTGTTTGTGTCTTGTCTCCCACAGATGACCAAGATTCTGATTCGGACAGTGATGCCTCCATCCAGCGTAACCGTGACAGCATGTCATTAGCCTCCTCACATTCCTCAGATGAAGAAGAGGAAGAGGGCGTTGACCTCTGGAAGACCGCTCCTACTAAGGTCAACCTGCCAGGTATGTTTAGCCACGTCCCAATTAGGGACCGTGACCATTCAGCCCTGGTATGAAAAGGGCCCCCCGGTACCTCATCCGGTCCAAAGCCAGTCCGGTCTTCAGCCCAGTCTCGTCTGGTACATGGTCCTGTCTGACGGGAAGTTTTGAAGTCAGTCAGGGGCATCAATTTATTGCCCTTCAGAGAACGTCCAGAGCAGAACAATAGCAGACTTACCGGATTAAAGATAAAATCCTTCCATAACGCCTTAGTAGTTTACGGTCCCATTGTGTGCGAAACCGCATGGCAGGGGTTTTGATCTGTGCCGACGAAAGTGTTCTATTGTTTCGCGCTGAGAGATGAAAGCGGGTTTCCTCTGGGATATATTACATGTTACATATATATTACATGTGTCAATACTTGCAAACAATAGACGCCAGGATAGAGGAGTTCCTGATTAGCAACCGGACCAGCTCCTGGGCCGGTAGCTGGGACGGTACGAGAGGACTTCTTGGGAGGGGACGAGCCTACCGGGGGGCCCTTTTCATACCAGGGATGAATGGTCACGGGCCCTTAGTGGGCTATGACGGGTGTGACCGGATTTTTGTTCTCCATACAAACTGTCTAGGGGACAGAATGTCATAGGAATTAGTGTTTGGCTAGACCCGATATTCTGTTCCCCTTTAAGATATTTTGTCCACTTGAAAATTATTATGTCCCTCCCCCCCCCCCCCCCCCCACCAGTTTTAGGACAAATAAAGGCCATACCTGACTGTTGGTGGAGATTTTACAACTTTTTTATAAATGCATTGCGACTACTTTGTGTCGGATTTTTGTGAATGTGTGGTCATGATTAATTTTGTCGGACAAATAGAAGATAGAAGTCTGGCTTCCACACTTTAAATTTAACATGTACTGCATGGGGAAACAACATCCTGGGGGGAAGAATTCTCTGTTGAGGTAGGAGATGGAATATCCTGGAGGGGGACACTATTTCCTCGGAAAAGATGACTGGGGCCGCAATATCCTGGCCAAAAAAACCCAGGAAAATCTGTCCAGGGGACAGAATATCCTGGGAAAACAGAATGTTCTGGGGGATAGAATGTCCTGGGGGATAAAATCTCCTTGCACACTGGCAATTTTTTGGGGGGGTTGTATGTCACACCGACCCCCTCCACTGTCCCTCTTGTGATACCCGTTTGGCTTTACTCTAACACTGGTGACATCAGAGGATTGGTTTAGAGGACATCCATGTTAAGTACATTTCTGATCACTCTTTCGTTTGTAGATAACATAACATCCCATGGTTTGGGGCCACTGCACAGCACTCCTAAAGGTAGGAATGACAATTCTTTCTTAATTTCTTAAACTGACAAGAAAAATGTGTACCTCTTGATGTAAATAGATGACAGATTTTGATTTGTGAGCAATTCACATCAGTTAAAAGCATTTCTTTTACCTATCGACCCCTTAATCAGGCATGCAACTTTTCCTTGGATCAGCTGATTTCCTCTTTTTTATTTCCCATGGGTGCCATTGAAAATAGAAAAACACTGTACAAAGTCTTGGAAAGATGTGAATTTCCTCTCTTTTTTGTGACTTCCCAGTTGCATGCCTGCTTAATGTGAACTGACGATGAGCTTGCATAACTCATTATGTTTATTCAAGCTCCATCCTAAAAACAAGCGATCTGTTTAAGTATTTGAATACTCTGCTCTTGGAGCAAACAGGAGTTGATTTGCTATCATTCTGTAAGAATCTGCACTTACAAATGCAAGGTAAAGAAAAATGTGGTCAGGAGAGGATTGTATCTTGATTCTTACTCACCAGAAATGACGGTGCTGCCACCAGACAACGCAGACATCAAGCGCAAATGGCCGGGGGAGCCCTACACCGGGGACATGGAGACCATACCAGAGTCCACCCTCCGGGCTGAACTGAAGATCCTAGACCCAAAGTTCCCTCTGGACAATGACCGAGATAACAGCGTGACGGGGAGCGTGACGGGCAGCGTGACAGGCAGCATTGATGGTAAGACTGGGGGTGGGGGATAAGTTGGCAACTGGACGAAGTGCAAGGGCCTCGCGATTTGTGACAATTAGAATGTGCTGGTTTCAATGGGCCAGTTGAACACTGCACATGTACGTACTGCGAAGTAGACCTTGGAAGCCTGTGTACCATGTGATAAAACTGCATTTTGACCAATCACTGCATTGGTGGTCATGCCATTATGGAGCATAACTTTACACAATTCTGCCCAAGTGTAAATATTTACTCATACACAATAAACCACTTTTTCTTGTGCCTGGCAGAAGGGCTGTATTCCCTTAGGTGCGAATGCGTAATCACAAAAATGTTTCCAGCAGAAGGGCATTTGCAGAAAAGTGCCTCCATTTTAATGAAATTTAAGCATTTCCATCAAAAAGTAACACGCGTTTCAAAAAAATTGTATGATTTATAATACATGTTGGAGAAAATTGGATTCACAATATGCATGGGGAACACTGAAGCCTTTTAATGCAATTTTCTTGAAAAGTTGTTTTTGCGTCAAAACGTTCATATGTCCTCCTTTTGGAGGATTTTGGAAGATTTTGGAGGATTGAAGCTGAATTGGAAAAAAGTGTAGGTTGATTTTGGAGAATGCATTGGGTCAAGTTTGTAGGTTGTACCCAGCATTGTTTACAGTCAGCCATGCATGATTGAGCTGCATTATGCTCTATCATCTGAATGAAACTGCCTCAACCCATTAACAGTTTTTGTTGGAGGATTTTGAAGGATTGAGGCAATGGTCACCACTCCACTAAACAAAATTCAAGAAATAACGGATGATTTGTGAGGAATCCAAGTTTTACATGGTGGATGTTATTGAGGATGGTTCCTAGCCAATAGGGCCTAAAGTTAATTGTGACTTTCATCTTTATCCTGTTTTAAAAAAGGATTTCATTTTTAATGTCAAATGTATTGTATTCCTTTTCTTTCTTGGTAATAGGAAGCAACAGGAACCTGATTGTTTCCCACGTGTCGGCCCGGCCAGACATCCTCCCACTGAAGGGGATCATGAAGACGCCAGGCAGCTCTCATAAAGGGTCCTCCCACGGTTCAGGCTCAGGCTCGGGGTCCAACGCCAGCCTGACCAAGATCCCAATGTCAGTCACCACCACGCCTGACAAGTATGGGTCAGGATTGGGTGTCTCATTCCCCCCGGAGCAGAGGAGCCACGACTCCGAATCAGAGTAAGTTCTGTCTTTCAGTCTTTGCTTTCCTTTCCTAAACTTTCTCTTTTCAACCCTTCCTAATATTTTATGATTAATAACAACTGCTCAAATCATTTGAAAAGGATTATGTAAAAGTTGCTCTTTCTCTAAATTTTTTAGTTTCACCATTAACAAAATATTTTGCTTTTTATAGCATTGTACATGTTAGGCAGTGTTGAATGAGACTTCAAATGAACAAAACAAACACCCAAGCTTGGTTATGGAATGAATTCTTATACCAATTTCGAATTGTCATTTGCAGTCCGATAACAATGCAGGTTTTTTTTGGTGTCAGACATGACAAATAACCCAAAATAAACCATTTTTTTTTCTTTTCAGAGGGTTTCAGATGCTCAAAATAGTTTTAAAAAAAAATGTTTTGGGGAGTTCAAATGAAACATGCATTTTCAAATTTCACTCAGAGACTGAAGCCCGGTTCATACTCCATGCGAATGCGAAGCGAATTTGACGTCATGAAACATTCGCTGCGAAATTCGCCCGAGTTGAAATATGTTCAACTTTTATGAATTCGCAGCACGAATACTCGCCGTGACGTCACAAATTCGCGTTCGCTTTCGCTTTCGCGCCGAGTATGAACCGGGCTTAATGGACCCCACTTTTCATTGTGAAAACATTTGAACTTATCTTAACCTTACTTTTTATTAACTTTTTTTTATTGCCTACTATTTTCCCATTTATCGTAGGATCATCTACTAAGCACACTGGACCTCTTCAAGCATTCTACCACTATAAATGTTTCCATTGAAATCAATTGTAGGAATGCATGATTTAGAGATTTCATGGATGGAATTTAAGGGACGACATTTAAAAATGAGGGCTGTAGCTGCATGTCAATAAAAACAATGCCTTATGTCGTGCTCAAAACTTTTGAATAAATAAATGAATAAAATAAAACTGTTTTTGTGAATGCAGACAGATTTCCTCAAAAAGTGGAAACGATAAATAATATAAATGTTTGTGATTTAAAGACCAGTGTTTGTTGTGAATTGTAAAAAGGTGCCGTCATTCGTAAAAAAAAAATCATCTTTCCAAAAGCATTTCTCCAGCGTGTGCAGTATTCTCCTAAAACATTTCTTTCAATCATGCTAGTGAATTCGTGCTAAGTGCAGCTGCAGATTATTTTTTTTATTTGTTTCTTGTCACATTCTGCATGATGTATGATTTGAATCATAATTCCAACTTCCATTTTCATCTAGGTGTGCAACGCATTCAACTGAAGTTTTGATCTCTGGAAAAGTTTTGTTTTACTCTTTGCCCTGTGTTGTTGAAGCTGACAAAACCAGTGCTGTAGTTGAGCCAATCGCAAGTCCGCACGTGTAGTCACAAGTCAACAAAAACTGCATCCAGTCACAAGCTACTCAAATATACTGTGACAAAATTATTCCGTTGTTGTCGTTTGTCCGTTGTGGCTTGGGACCGGACTTGTGATTTACCGGTTCTTATGACCAGACTTGTGATGAGTTCAAGTATAGCACTGGCAAATACAGGCCTGCATTTGTTGTCCATAATAATTTTCGGATTTTATTTGTTTCAAACTTTCAAACTTCAAATTTCAAACTTGATACAGTATGTCCCAAAAAAGTGCCCGTCCGACTATTTTTAAAATAACTACAAAACCACGAAGTAAATTTTGAAAATTTTTGATTGTGGAGACACACCTTATCCTTGGCCTTAACCCCTATGAGTTTCATTTAATTTTCATCACGCCTCACTGCACAATGGTCAATTGATCACAACAACATTTTTGACACTGTGACCAAGTTCCTTGCCTTAATCAATTTCAGTGCTGTGTTATGTGAGATGTGTAAATCCTGCATGCTGTGAAACAAAGGCTGATGTGGTTTGGGATTGGAATCATTTGCCCTTGAACATGAGACTGAGGCCTTGTCATGATGACTGATAGCCAGGCAAATGATTCCAATCACAACCACAGCCCTTTTCACAACATGCAGGATTACACACAGCTTACATGACACAGTAGTGAAATTGATTAAGGCAAGGAACTTGGTCACCGGTTCCAAAAATGTTGTTGTGATCAATTGATAATTGTGCAGTGATGCGTGACTGAAATTAAATGAAACTCATCGGGGTTGAGGCCAAGGCTGAGGAGTATCTGCTCAATCAAACATTTTCAAAATTGACCTCATGATCTTGTAGTTATTTCAGAATAGTCAGACATACACTTTGTGGGGACAGACTGTATAATGCTGTATTCAAAACTCTGCAGAAAGTCTTCATAATTTCATGTATAATTTTCAGTTTTGATTTTGCCATCGCTTTAATGTCTTTTGTTTTCTTTCTTTTTGTGATCCCTCCTCTTCTTCCCCTACTTTTTTCTTTGTTTCCTTTTCTTCTTTTCTACAGTGGGAGCAGCAATGAAACATCAGTATGACGCGCAGTTCATGTTGATGCCGTTGGTTTTTGAAGGAGTATGGTGTGCATGTTGTGTCAAAATATCGTGCCCTTCTGGTTCTTTAAAAAAAAAAAAACTGTACAGCTGCATATGAACGACATACCGTATCAATTTTTTTGTAGATACAGAAAAATAATCTAAACGTGTACATTTTTGTACAATTTCTTTTTCTTCTGTACATTTTTGCTTTTTTTTTTAAAGTGTGTGGTCTTATACCTTAGAAGCTTAAAAGTTTCTTGTGTAGGGCTTGGATTGTTGACATGTATATTTGGACAATGATTTTTAAGTGTGATTTAAATCGTGATGCTCAATTTCTTTTTTAATCTCATGTGGCCATAATGTTGAAAGAAATAGTCCAAAACGGTAACAACATTATTCCTTGATTGGACCACTCGTAAAGAAGCAAAATACTCTTGCTGCTACTTTTGTTTTGGAGTGAATTTTTCAGAATGGTGCTTTGGTTTGTGTTACCCATCATTTTTAAACCAAAGTCTTTTTTTTTGAATAGATTTAGACAATTTTAATAGATTTATTTTCAAAATTGGCCTACCTTGTACAGTCATCTGATATTCTTATCGGTTTTAAAGAAACAGTTTTATCAAGTGATTTTTCTTTTTGACAAAGAATTTGACAAGCACAACATTATGTAATTTAAAAACTGGCCCCGATATTCAGTAAGATAGACCCTTTGCATATAACGTCACAACTGAGGGCTGGTTATTGTTCCTCTGTGATACGCATGAGTTAGACACTCATGTGCTTTCACTGTCACTGAGTTTAAATAACAAAAAGTGCCCACAGTGAGTGGGTGTGCACCGTGCAAGGAGTCTATAGGGTGCATGAGGTGAAGAATACCATTAACCAAAACAACATTCCAAGAAAACCTTACAAAATACTTGTTTGTTTGTTTAAATGGAGTGCACTTTTTGTGATTACTTTTAAGGAAAAGGTGGTTTGTAAACTGTACAAGAAGTGAGATTAGACTTAATATGAATAATTGTTTTATTAATTTTTGTAATTTTTTTTTTTAGGATAGGGACGCCTGTGTTGAACCCCCTGCATCTTCCAAAATACCACAATTGTGGACAATTTTTGCATGGCTTGGAAAATAGTGATATTGCATTGAAACTTCAACAAGACAAGGCATGTCTAGAAAAGCTGGACCCAGAGTGTACACCATTCTAGTCAATCGGTTGAGAATGGCTGCTCACTGGTGAAGTGTTTTCACGCATGTGGCCCACACAGTGGACTGGGTTTAGCCCATTAGTTGGTGTTATGGTGCTAACCTATTTCAAACCTTTGGGCCCAGGTGGGACTTATAGGTAATATACAACATTTGCAAACATTAAAAAAAACAAAAAAAAAACAAGTTACTATGAAATACCTTACTTGACTGTTAGTGGGTAATAGTCTCAAGCATCCTGTGAAATCATGGCACCTGGCGTGCTGTCATTGTTATGAAAAGTAGAGTTTTGTATCAATTTCCAACAATGTTTGGACGACAATTGTTGGAAGGAACTACCTTTTTTCAAATACTGCCCCCGATTTACCAAATTTAGTTAGCTTACATTTTGTTTGCAAAAACGGTTACACATCTGCGGTAGCAAGCCAGCTACTCTGGTTGCCTGACCTGACAATTCCCAGATTTCTAAAAATCGCTGCATTTCGCATGAAGTAGGATCAGGCAACCAGATTACAAGAACAGCATTGTTTTCTTGGTTTGTTCAGCATCTGTGAACACAAAACTTTAACCAGGTCAGTGTAATAATATTGCTGTACAATACTGAACCCCCCACATCCGTCCATTTCTGAAAATGTCAGTGAAGTAAATGTTGTATATTACCTTTTAAGCAAATCTAATTTATATTCGACAGTCAGACGGTCTTTTCCCAACACCATAATATAATAACACATGGTACCGTACAGACAGCTATCAAATTTCCCAAAATTGTGATTTTGGAAGATTTAGGTTGGTTACAATTTCATTTTCTCTTATGATTATACATGTAGAACCCCTTGCCAAAGTTCCTTCTTTTTGTATATGAAAAATAGTACTATTGTGCATTGACTGTTTTAGCACGTATGATTTAGTCTCTGTATATATTGTGTAAATGATTCCTGCAATGCGTGCGCCTTCGCTTTCTGAAATTAAGAGGAAAAAAAGGACAATATTGAATGTATTTATAAGGCTTGGTGATTTGCTTTGAATGATTTTTAAATGATTTTAAGTATTTTTATGGAGACGTTGTAAGCGTTACTGTGTTTGTGAATAATTGTGTTCTCTTACAATGCTAAAAAAATACTTGCATTTTTCCATGATGCATTAAGGGTGAAGGGTGTTTTATGATCCGCTATATTCAGTAGTTTTTGTTTGCCCAATTCAAAAACCAATGTGACTATTTGGTCAGAAAGCCAATAGGCTCTATTGGGTGACATGTATGTGAAAATGTTGTTTTAATGTCGTACTAAAACAGGTATTGTTTTTTTTTTTCAAAATAAAAGGTTGCTTAGTTTAGAAATACCAAATTTGAGAAAATTACATTGTATCTTTACATTCATTAACTTCACAATCGAAACCACCTTATTTTATCCCCGTTTACATGTGGTTGGGTTGTTATTGATTTGCAATAAGTAAAGTATAACTTTAAATGCATAACTGCTCTTCCCAGATTTACACATTACAATTTCTGATTATTGGTGCAAGTTATCAAGGTGCATGCTGTTTTTACGTTTTACTGTTAAATGAGCAATAAACCCCCTATAAAACCAACCCTTACCCTAAAATTGTCCTGTCACTCAACCCAGGTTGCTTATTTATGAGTTCACCCAGCGTAAAGCTTTTCAAAGATGTTGTAAAAAAAAAATACCCAACAAAACCCCAGTAGTTAGATTACTGTTAGTTACCCATCACTGAATGAACTAATGAACTATGCAATGTGTTCCATGTGAAGAGAAAGTCCAGTTTAAATAGTCGTAATCCATGTACCGGTACTTGGTACATAAAACAAAGTGAAGTACAGCCTGTCTCCAAAAAAATGGTACCATCAGAAAAAAAATTGATTAAAATATGAACTTTCAAAATAAGTCATTCTTACTAGGCATAATATTCAAGAACAAAGACTGGGCTTTCCAATAGTGTTTGTTTGATCTTATTTGCTTTTGTCAATTCAGAGATATAATCAATTTAGTGCCATACACCAAAATCGATTTTGTGCCACTTTTATGCATGGGCAGAGTTGTTTCGAGTACTGTGCCATGCTGTCTTGAAGCTCACAAAAGATTGCAACTTGGCAAAAGAAACAAAACACAGATTAAAGTAGACAAAGGAAGTCTGGTTTTCTCGATACAAGCTTTAATAGTCAACATAATAAGTTCAATGATAAATAGTTTCTTTATGAAGTTAATCCCTTCTTTGAATTTCAAATCTGTTCAAGTGTGAATAACGTTTTGTTTAACTAATTCTTTCACCGTTCTCACTCAACCAGAAAGTGGCACTAACTCGATTTTTGTGTTCCGCAGTAAACTGGAGTTATCTCTGGATTGACAAAAGCAAATGAGATGAAACAAAGAGTATTGGAATGCCTGGTTTTTTTTCTTTAATGTGATGCTCAAAACGACTTACTTATGTTGAGATTTAATATTGAAAAAAAAATCGTTTTCGATTGTACCATTTTTTTTTTAGACAGGCTGTATAGTGCATTGAGCTGCATAAACTTAGATGCCTATCATTCATCCTGCTAGTTTAAGGCATAAAGTGGACTCCAGTCGTCAATACATGTACCCTACCTGAATAGTCTAGACTGCTGAGTGACGCTGCAATGTGTTCTTTGCATGTACTTCTTCAAGTTTTTCTTGGAGCTGTACTGAAAGCAGCTGGTTTGTTTGTTTGTGTTTTTTGGTAAAAAAAAGAAGCCATATCCACTAAATGAGACATTTTATAGTATACATGTACAATCCTAAATGACTCTTTACCTAATGTGACAATGATCCAGTACCTCCCATGTCCATATCGTAATGGATTTAAATTCTTGTATTATCTTTATTTATCTTTCATGTTGACGCAATGAAGCCACCCTCCATTCATTTCATTATTCTTCCATCAAATCCACCTGTGTTTATCCACCAAGCCTTAAGTAAGTACTGTTTACTATCTTATGAACCTGGTACTAAACTCTTTTTGATTTCTTTGTACTTTTTAAATGGTATTTAAGAGCCGGTCCATAATGGCCATTTTTGTACATATACATTTCTTCAGGTACCGTGTACCGCTTTGCGTGTATTTGCAACTTGGATGTTGGTAGTACTATACTGTGTAAGGAAATCATGTTATATGCATTGTATCTTTATCAAAGTATAAAGAAATTTGCCTAAAAAATGTTGTGTGTATTTGTAAGATGTCGGAGGAATGAAAAGGTTGTGTCTCCTACTTTAAGATACAGCATGATGGGATGAAATGAAAACAAAAATCTTGAAATTTGTATAAAAAAAATTAATAATAAACGGATTTATATATTGAGATCATGCACATGTTCAAATTTTAGTGTCTTGTCGCATAGAGAGAGATATATTATATGTATAGACCAACAGCTAGTAGTGCAAAAAGCGTGCCGAGAAATTGTTACTGTAGAAAATGTAGTTTAGACTTGTGTCAGTAGCAAGTGCATTCTGGGAATTAATCAGGGAATCTTGGGAGGGCAGCCATTTTGAATGGCAGCCGATCATAGTTTAGAGGTTTGTTCTCACCACCACTGGAATTGACCAAGAGGGGCAGGCTGGGTGAGACTTTCAGGGGCATATTTGCGTAAAACCATCAAAGTATAATCTTATGTGCAACCTCTTGTAAATAAAGAAGAGCATAATATGGGTCATTTCTTTGCAAATGTCTATCACAAAAGGGTGCATTTTTAGGGGGTATTCTTGTGGGTAGAGTTGGAAATTGCATGTGAATAGCTCTGTAATACCATATTAAAGGGTTTTCCAATGTCTTCGTGCAAAAACCACAACGTGCCCGACCACAATGAAGACATCGCTTTGGTCGCCACGTGTTTTCACCTCATGAGAGTCGACATTCCCTGCGTCCTGTTTTTCATAATTGATTCTTGTGAACTGAGAGCTGGTAGTTGATCTGTAGGCTTATTGTGTAATGCCGTGGTGCTCATTCAATGTATCATACTATTATGTACTGTTCTTAACATGACACATCCTGTCTTCATGATTGTCACTGAATGTCCATTAAATATGGAGGAAAATGAAATTTGTGAAATAAAAACTGATTTGTCATCACATTCCTTGTTTCAAAATGTTGTGTTTGTTGACTTCACTTTGAACTTTGTTGTAAAATGGTGCCCTGGCTACATGTAAATTTCTCTAGATTCGGACATTCAAAACCATCCATTTTTGGGGGGGGGGGCATTGTTATGATTAAACTACAAGTTAAAAATTTGCTACCAAAAAAAATCGAAGTTGAATCTTAAATATATTTATGCAACCAATTCGATTTTGTTCACATCAAAAAACTAAATTTCTCTAGCCATACATAACTCTTGAATAAAAGACTTTACAGTAGTATTTGTATTTGCAAAGTTTAATTTTATTGTTTAAAATACACAGATTGAGGTTTAAAGACATCCATTCAATGAAACAAAACATTGATGACTACCAAAAGTTAATCGGTTTTGGACTTTCAAAATAATTTGAAGAACAAAATTTGGAGTATGTGCAAGAACTGGGAGTAGCTCACATCATTTCAAAAGTGCCAGAAAAAAAAAATCGGGTTTTTTTTCAAAGCTGGAAGTATGAGACAGTTAAAAACTAATCACTGCTTCTGAAACAGTCTGAACACAGTCCGTTTTGGTTCATCCCCAAAGTAACATATCCAAAAAGATGGCAAAAAAGCAAAAACAAGACAAATAATCCTATATACAAGCCCACAATTTCTCAGTAATCTTGACAGGCTGGCAAGTGGGTGACCTATAAACTGTTTTGCAGAACTTATGTTTAAAGGCTAAACTTTATTCCTTCAAAATGAGTCTCATATTAGAAGAAAAAAAATCACAAAAACATCCCCCTCTGACATTGAACCATTTTTTGGGGGGGGGGGGGTAGGGGGAGGTGGGGGACGGGGGCTGCTTCATAATTTAGGAATAACTACCCACAAAGCATGCTAAGAACAGACATTCAGTTTTTTATAAGCAGCATGGTCATGTAAACATGTTAAACATGGAAAATGTCCGAGTAATTATGCACAAAATTGATTGCCTAGTTTCAACATCATTTTCTTTCACATCCAATTTCTTGCCAAATCTGCTTTACATTGCCCCAAATTGCAGTAAATGAACAAAATAATGTGTTCCTGAATCATTGTTGTCATGACAACAGAAATGGAATTGTACCACAGAAATCAGCCTGTTTCCTAATACAAAACCGAAACATGTAAACACGCTGTTTCTCCAAATGTCTGAGCGTTTTACAGACTCCTGAAGTTTCAGCATCACAGTGAAAACAAAATGAAATGCAACACTGTTGCATGTTCAGTAAAAATTAAATCCATACTTATGTCAACACATTGTTAGCACCAACAGGTATTTTGAATAACACCAATTAAAAATAAACCTGGACTTTCCAGTTACGAAAATGGATTGTAAACACAGATTTGGAAAATTCAGGAGTCTAGCGCTGTGTCAATAAGTTTCAGTGAATGTTCCACTTGCCAGCCAGACAAAGCAGCCGTGTCTACTCTAGCTCACAGTGACTTCCCTCACTGTTCTGGTTGTGTATCTGTTGGCGTTGAGCTCTGGCCTTCACCCTTGTTCACATCGCTGACACAGACCCACTGACCTTCAAGAGATTCCTTCCATAGACTGACCTGAGGGTGGAGAATCAATGTGGACTGGTTTATAGGCTAATTCGGTGGCAGCCATTTTCTGAGGCAGCTCAGGCTTACGCAAGTCCTGCAAAGGTAGTACGCACGCACTCCGGGGTTACCAAAATGAGCGCACACCTTGTCTTTAGAAATGCATGCCATGCGCAATTACTATACATGTACCTCATAAATATTCATCAGGCAACCGCGGCATTTCATTGGTCCATTCCAGCAACTCAACCGTGTGAAAGTTTAACTATCACCCCGCGTCTTCATACACATGCGTGACGCGCAAAAACCAGGGAGGTACTATCACACATCTGGGTCACAGCAGTTAGATTTGTTCCAGTACTGTGTTATCTCTTTACCAACGACGCATGTGCTTTACGTGCGTACCGTGGAAAACACCAGTGAAGACAGTTGCACGTGCCAGACTATTTCAGCATACATTAAAATGGCGACCGGTGGTGCTCGCTTTGCGATTTTAACCGAGGAGGAAGTGGGTGAAATTTTACACAATAAATATAAATGCAGTGTTTTGCGTGAATGTTAAAGTTATTAAATGACACAAAATTAACTTTCCATTCTGTCTGTCTCCTTAAATTAAAGGGAATGTACATCATTGGTTTTTGCTGTAATTTTCAGAAATAAATTATTTGAGGGGTTATAATGTATCAAATATTTATTGTTACACTGACAAGTTTGAAGTTTTGTGTTCGAAATGCTGGAAAAACCAAGAAAAACAAAACGTTCAAGTAGTCTGGTTCCCTGACTTTATTAAAGATGAAATGGATCAATTTATTGATGCCGGAAAATTGTAAGGTAAGGGAACCAGTCTAGCTGGCCTGCACACGTTCATGAACATGTAACCAATAGCAAACCAAATTTGGACTGAAAAAATATGGTAAAATTGAAGCAGTAGTTGAAAAATAGTTAGGTATTTCCAACGGTGGTTGGCCGACCACAGTTGAAAATTTATACAAAAATACAAGTTAACTTGAAAATGGCTTCACACCAGGTGTCATAATTTTACAGGATGCTTTAGACTGTCATTTACCAACATCCTAGTAAGGTATTTCATAAAAATTTGGTAGTTTTGTTTTTCAATGTTTGCAAATGTTGTATATTCCCTTTCAAATAATGTTTCACTTTATCCAAATACTGCTCGATCAAAAACATGGTGGAATGGACGAATGAAATACCCCAGCTGCCTGATGAATATTTATGAGGTATAGTAAAACAAATACAACATGTTTTTGCGGGGAAATAGTGAAAACAAATGACCCCTCGGTGTTGGATGATTGGGACGATCTCCTGAGGCGAAAAGCCCAATAATCCAACACCTCGGGGTCATTAGTGTTCACTATTTCCCGACAAACCGTGTTGTATTTGTATTCTAATGTTTTCTAGACAAGCATAGGAAAGGGTCATAGACATGTTTTTCATACCACACATGAATTTCTCTGCAGTTGTCTACAAAATCAATGATATTTTGTTCACCTTATTATCTCCTCCTGACACAGCCAGTATGTTCCCAGTCACTGACCAGCTCACATGCCACACTACGTCACTGAATTTGTTCAAAATCTGCAAAAAGGAAACCAAAAAGCAATACAACAAATCACGATCGCATTTTCTGCATCTACATTACCTGGAGAGACTGCGACGCAAATTCACGATGGTGCAGAAAGTGCATTGAACTGCATGGCTTACTCCCAGCCACTTTTGATGCACTTAGATTTTAACCTCAACATTCAATATTTGAACCAGCCAGTTGAAGCTGATGGTCAAGTGGTAAGACGTCAGCACTAAGACGTAAGCAGGCGGTCATGGGTTCGAGTCCCACCCGAGTGGTTTGTGACTTTATTCTCACTGTCCCTTGGACAACACTGAGTATACAGTGTTTATAAAAGACGTCAGTGAAGGGCAAAACCCGATATTGAATATACATCACCCCACCGTGAATTCCATATTATAAATAACCTTAGCATTTAGACCAACTGCCATACCACGCTCTATTCAATTGAGTTTGACACAGACATTGTGCAGCGCTTACAGCAGGTCTCAGTCAGTAGAGCACTGGTATGGCGTTCCAGAGTTCACAGGTTCCAATCCCTTTGTAGTCAATTTCCTTGGTTTCATTTTACAGCCTCTATCACCCAGCTTACTCACCTTAGGTGTCCATGCTGTGCCTGTACTCTCATCGCTAGTCCAGATAATAACTCGGCCGTCTTGTGAACAGCTAGCGATGGTACTGTGAGGTAGACCGATAGAGGGCGCCCAAGCCACGTCTCGCACCCAGTCACTGTGGGCCTCTAGTTTGTGCTCTTCCCGCCATTCACCATTCTCCTCCCTGTCAAGAAATCCAGGATGATGATTCAATAGTCACAAAATCTCAACTATGTATAACCCCGTAGAAACGTGTCTGCAATCTTCTTTAGTAGCTTACTTACTCCAAATTTTAAAATGATGGAATTTTGCTTCACAAAGAAGCCATTTTAATATTTGGGTTAAAATATACACAATGTTAACTGCAGTCCCAGTGTTCTCCAACCTGTAAATATAACCTGGTGCCCCGCCAAGCTTTCTGAGGCACCCACCAAGCTTCAAAAGCTGCTGCCAAGCTTCAAAAGTTCCCTGCCATGCTTAAAAAAAAAAGGAAAAAAGTAATAAAAAAGAAAAACAAGTGGGACTACCCTTACCCTCCAAGGTACATTTTGGCCAGAAACTCTGCCAAAAGCAGTAACATGGAACATTTGTCAAACTGACAAGCCTTCCCATTGTAGCGATCGATCAGGTCAAAAGTCTCAAGGCCAAAACTGCCTCAGAGTCCCTGGTCACTGATGTGTTAAAAAAGATGATGCTGAGCCAGTATTGCACTTAATTGTTAGTGTTACTGTGTTAGAAATGGCCTAAAAGCTGTTATCCGTACAAAATGTACATGTTCATATGCAAATAGCGCCCCCTAGCATAAAGAAATGTATGACTGCAAATAGCGCCCCTAACATAATTATAGCGCCCCCCCCCTCCGCTTTTTGACGGCACACCGACCTTTAATTTTCAAAGTTGGAGAACACTGCAGTACCCCTACAATTTCACATGCAAATCTGCCAGTGGACCTTTGCCAGTGGTAAGACGTCTGCACAAGACAAGTGATCTGCAGATTGCACGTCGCCTTTTTTCGCGGTCGATCCCTATGTCTTGTGTTCTTACATAAATTTGAATTTTGAGCATTTTTAAACAATGACCTCCATTGACCCCTAGATGACCTTTGACCTGCAATTTCAGAAGAGGCGTCATGAAACCCCCACCCAAGGATAACTCCATCCAAGTGACATTAACATCCATCAAATTCTGCAGACAGAGAAACTTTTGAAGCATATTTGAACAATGACCTCTAATGACCCCTACATGACCTTTGACCTTAGCAATCCGATGAAGAATTGTGTTTTCCTACCCAAGGGTCACTGCATCCGAGTTTCATACAAAAACTTTTAACATACAGAGATATGGTCATGCAGAATTTGGGACTAGTAAGGCCAAAAAAAACCCTGCTGCTTCTGGTTTCCCTACCTACCCTATTCTGACAGCCCCTACCCTAATTTTTTATTGGAAATATGAGGAAAAACACCCAAAACCATCAATTTCTACCTTTTACCCTTGACTACACACAGACGCCTCCATATGATTGTACACAAAAAAAATTGGCCAAAAAAAAAAATTCCCTATTTTCAAATGCCATGTAATCGGAAGCAGAACTTTTGGGGGGGGGGGGCCTAAGTGTCCCCCAAAACTTTGTTAAGGCGACGCAAAAACCTGAACAAGCTTGCAATTTTTTTTTTTTGCAAGCTCTCAACACTGAGTGAATGGTGCCTACAACATTACAGCAGTGAAGGGCAAAACCAAATATTAGATTTGAAAATTTGCATGGTGAAGGTAGCAATAAGATAAAAATTACGGTAGGATCATGTGACAAGTCTCTTTTGTAAGTTTGTGAGGTTCTGAAATGAACCAAGGGAAACTCAGCGTTTTGGACAACATACTCCTTGTTGCCAGGAGATTGTAGGGGTTCCAACGGTGAAGGGGAGTTATGTAGTGTGACTGGAAGCAGTGAAGCGCATGAAGGATGCAACAGTGCAGTCCTAGCTGCAGCAGGGGTGCTGGATGATCAGTCCAGTTTTCCCCGGTTCTTTTCAGAACCTCACAAACTCACAAAAAGGGATTTGTCACATGGTGCACAGTAATACTTTATCTTCAAAACCCACTATTAAAACATCTTGACAAATTTTAAAATGGAAGAACTGGACATTAAAGGGAATGTACATCATTGGCTTTTGCTGTAATTTTCAGAGAAAAAAAATATTTGAGGGGTTAGTATAACAGATCACATATTGTTACACTGACGTGTTTGAAGTTTTGTGTTCGAAAATGCTAAAAAAACCAAGAAAAACAAAAATGTTCAAGTAGTCTGGTTCCCTGACTCCACTAAAGATAAAATGGATCAATTTATAGATGCCGGAAAATTGTAAGGTAATGGAACCAGTCTAGCTGGCCTGCACCCATTCATCAACATGTAACCAATAGCAAACAAACTTTGAACTGAAAACAATTGCTAAATTGGGAGCAGTACGGTAGTTGGAAAATAGTTGGGTTTTTCCAACGGTGGTCGGCCGACCACCGTTGGATTTTTATAAAAAATACCACTTTTCTTGAAAATGACTTAACGCCAGATGCCATAATTTTACAGGATGTTTTAGACTATCATTTGCCAACATCCTAGTAAGGTATTTTGTAAAAATTTGTTAATTTTGTTTTTCGATGTTTGCAAATGTTGTATATTCCCTTTAAGTAAATACATGTAATGGGATCGAGCATCCTGTGAAACCATTGTGCCTGGTATGCCGTCATTTTCACGAAAAATGATGATGCATTTTCACAGTTTTCTCAAAAAGTATATCCACTGAGCTGAAATTCTGACAGCTTTGTGTTTTAATAACCTATTTCAGATTTATTGTACAGTTTTTCCTTAGATCGGCAATTTGGAAATAGTGTCCATACCTTTACACCAGGCATTGATGTTTCTGCTGTCAACAAAACATGTTCTTTGACAAAGAGATATTTTAGTTCCCCTACTTACTTCCAGATTTTGACCAGGTTATCGCAGCCTCCTGTCACAAATCTCTTGACGGGTACCAGTTTCTGTGAGGATGGAGGCTCTATCAGGGAACCTGGCTCTACAGCCGGTGCCCAGCTCACTGCATTACAACCAATCTGCAGAACGAAGACATTATTCAATTCTCTTATATTTGTAATGGTGATCTTTAGTTCACTATGTTTGATAAGCTAGATTCCTTCGGTAAAGTGTTCAGTTTGGTGAATTTCAAATCCCTTCAGTGCATGTGTTTTAAAGCAATAGTCCATCTCTTGCAGCTATCCAAAAAGTAACTGACGTAATTATTGTTGAAAAACGTGCTTGGTTGAAAGATAGTATGCGAACTAAAACTCCCTGTGAAATAATTCTTTCTGGCAAGCTGTCATTTCGAAGAAATCAACGAAAGAAGGTCTTTCCAACGGTGCGTCTTAAGATGCACCATAGGAAATTTCCGTTAGTAGTTCCGTTTTCTTCATTCGGCGAAGCGTGCAAGCGTTGGCACTACGCACACGCGCGTGCGATTGCTATAATTTGTTGGATCGGTGCGCAACATCACGTAGCTGCATTCGGCTCAGTAAGAACGTGTCTCGGACGCTGAATTCAGGCCCAATTCAAAACATGATTTAGCAACATTTGAAATCGGATCCTAGAATGCTGTTTTTCTCAGAATATACAGCCGAAGCTGAGCTGAAACTTCATCAGGTTAGTTGTTCAACACCCTTCTTCAGATTTTTAGTACGTTTGTTGCTTCAAACAAACAAAATGCACAAGTTACAAATGATGGACTATACCTTTAAGGATTAAAATGGTAAACTGATGAAGCTGAAATAAGAAAATCAAGTTCTGGGTAAGGGAACGTCAAAAAAGTTGGAACACTTTTGGGGAACATCGCTTGCTCCAATTGGGAACATGCATTGATCCCACTGGGAACAGCCTGGAAACACCAGGTGATCCCGCGTGGGAACGTTGGTCTATCATGTCTATGCGCGTGCAAGCTTACTCAGGAACGGCCCATTCCAGTTGGGAACACGCTGGGAACACGCAGTGTTTCTAAAAGGAACGTTCCATACGGAACGGGAACGTTGCGACTTTTGACACGCTTCCTAAGAGGGTCATTACAGTAGGGTATAGGATTTTCAATGGGGTTTCCTCAGAAATCTAAACCTGACATTCCTTCCACTGGCTTTTATGAGTCGATAGGTCATTGCAAGAATAAATTATTAAAACCATTCATTTTGATATACTCCTCCTTATCCACTTGACTTACAGCGTGTGCATCTTTGATCTTCTGTGACTCCCATTTCCCGTCAGTATACGTGAGTATAGAGACTGAGCCATCAGATGAGGCGCAGGCTAGTGCCAGACCAAATTCATGGGGTGCCCACTGGACAGAATTCACTGCATCAAAGAAAATAAAGAGAACCCATCAGAAACAGTTCAATGTAGATGCTTTTTGGCCTGCAGCCAGAATATACCAGGTAGTATCCGTTGATCTCCAGTAGTAATTAGTAAGAAATTTTTTTAAAAATGAAAGAAAGGATCAAATAGTGGACACAGTTTTTATATTTTAGTGATGTGCATTAGTACGGGAACCTGGTACCCTATTGAAGTAAAACAGGGGAATCCAAGTACCCGTAAAAGAACCCAGCCCCAAAATTCAAATCAAAAGTTGTCTGAAGGGCTTAAACTGCAACTTTCACGAGCGTCATCTGTTGTGCATTAAAATGCACATTAATGTGAAATCTGCTTTAGTTTTCCATGCAACCTGGTTTTCACTTTGGAAATCCCACAAATGGCATTCACAACCTTTCTTTTTCATTGTCTGAGAAGTAACTCCGTAATTTGTAAAGTTTGTTACAGGTACCCGATCCCATAACCTTGAACCGGTTCCTGACGTCAGCGGTTGGGTACTTGGGTATCTGATTCTGATGCATACCCCTATTTGCATTTTTACTTTATAGGGGTATCACGCCCCATGGATTGTAATTTAAAAGTAACTAAGCTCCATCTTCCTCAATCTTGCAAAATCTTCCCACCTCTTCTGAAGGATTTTCTAGGATATGGGACAGGGAGATATCTCCAGTACTGAGGTAAAATAGCAAAACAGAATAATAATAATCATAATAATAATGTCGGGAAGGCAAAATGTAATATGTCCTACCAGATGAATCGTGACTGCTGTGCTCAAAGAGTTTGTCCCAGGCACTGTTATTCTCTTTCCAGATAATAACCTTACGATCATAGGAGCAGGACGCCAGGATGTTGCCAAACATGGGATGGGCCCAGGCAACCTGCCATACCGGTCCCTCGTGCCTGCATCGAAAAACCAATGAATGAGTGATAAGGTTGACATTGGTGAACTGAATGATATATTCTCAAACTGGGGACGGGGATTGGGTCAGGTTAGCACTGTGCTACTATCCTTGCTCTCATCTCTGTGGCATTCTGTGGTCCATTGGTTGCTGTATTCGACTCATGCGTCATGGTACGTGGACTCCAACCCTGATGGGGAACATATTGCTTGTGTCCTTGGGCAAGACACTTTACTACAATTGCCTTCTTCCAGCCAGGAGTATAAATGGGTACTTGTGAAGGTACAGACCAGATCGCACTGATCTTGAGCGCCACGGAAAACTGGTCTCAAAGCCTGATGAACAGGGGCAATAACTGTGAAGCATTTTGAGACCTTTAATGGTATAAAGCGCTATAAACACCATGTTATTATTTTTATTATCATTATCTCCGTGAACTGGATTGGAATCCTGCTGAAGTCCATGTGATATAAAGTAAGTAGTCCCTACCGCATATCATGAGCCCCTAACCCTTGCTGCATTGGCCATTACTTCTCACTTCGATGAGAGTGTTGCATGTTTGTTGTGTTGCAAAGGTTTCTAGACAAAATACCTTGGAGGGTGAGGTTCGTTTATGAAGAAAATATATCCACAGTTTTCTTCTCGTCTGTAAAACTGAATATTTCTTCAACTTCTGCCATAAATAAATTCTAAACTCTTCTAAGGCTGCCCTTGGGTCGACCTTGCAGTGATACAGGTCAGTCGGTGACTCAAACTGCGCCTGAGCTACAACTGTGGGGAACATTTTAGTCGCCGATGTTTAGCGACTGAGTGCAACTGCAACGATGTTAAGACAATCAGCATCAGTCGGCGCTAAAAAATGCAACAGTCACAAGAGTAAAAACATTTCAACTTCTGTGCGTCTCGATGGAACGTGTTCGCAACAGACAAGAATCAATCATTGTCAACCTGTGTGAAGTTACGACATCAAGCACGCATCCTGATCATTTATTGTGAAGTGTTGTCGCATTTGGGGTGACATGAGCAGGGTTGCGATTAATCTGTGCTCAGATGCCAAATGTTCCACGTTCATAACACGATTCCTCAGTTGACCTGAGGGTGGCCTAAGTTTCAGTGCCAACACATTTTTGAGAAATCTTCGGTTTCATTACATGTACCATGAAAATAATATAGGCCCTAGTACATAACCACATATATACATTTGTATCTCTAGTGGACCCATTTATTGACTGCTCGCCAGTGTTGTAGTCGAGACCGGATAGTCCGAGACCGAGACCAAGACCGAGACCTGAGGTTTCGAGACCGAGACCAAGACCAAGACCGAGACCAGCCCCTTCAAAGCGGACCGAGACCGAGACCGCGGATAATAAATAGCAATAATCTAAATAAAACACAAGACACATAATTAATTACAGCTGAACAGTCTGTCCTTGAGATGATGATGTTGATGGGGATGTGAAGGAAGTGATTGAAAGCTGGGAATCACTTGTACCTGCTTATGGCATGCGACTACCGGTACATGTATGCGAGTGTTCTTCATGTATGCTTCATACCTTAAATCACAACATGACAACAAAATTTGTTAATGTTGGCACAATCCTGTCCCTAATTAAAGAGAAGATTGTGTAGGGTCGAAATTGTCACTAATTTGGAGCACCTCATTTGTTTTAAGAATTACAAATACAAGTGAATACACCCACAGGGGTGGGCTAAACTACACAATCCCAGAATATGGTGGGCCCTTATTGCATAAATTGATCCTATTTTCCTTTATGTGCCTGACTAAAATGTCGATATTTTGGTTGGTCTCGACTCGAGACCAGCCAAAATATCGAGACCAAAGGGGACCGAGACCAAGACCGAGACCACAGCTCCTGAGACCGAGACCGAGACCAGCAAAAAGTGTTCTCGAGACCGAGACCAAGACCGAGACCGGTCTCGAGACTGCTGCTCGCTTGTTTTGACTTCAAACTCTAACTATTTCTCACCCTCTGAGGTCTGCAACTAGTGTCTGTTGTCCTCCTTTGACATCAAAGATCTTGACTGACCGGTCAGATGAGCAGGTTGCCAGACGAACACCGTAATAGTCCATCTGGGCATCATGCTATATATACACATACGTAAGTCAGCTAACAAATTTTTTTTTTTAACGTGACTTGCCTATAAATGCAAAGAATACTTTGTCTATGAAATTTTTAACAATTTCAGTTCTCTTAGACTATTTCCTTGTCATTTGAAACAAAAGCAACTGAACCCAATCATGTTACAAATCAGCATTTTCTGTTCTGATTGAAGATAATTAAATCTTTTCCACATACATGTACATGAAATGTAGCCACTGACCATGTTCAGCTTAATAGTTTAAAACTTTATATGGGCCAAACTGTGAAAATTAAAAATAAGTTGTGAACAAATTGCAATATTTTACACTAAAACTAATTCTTATGATTTCTTATGCTTTCTTTATGTACAACTACTGAGTCCAACACTGTCCAACACTATCCAACACAACGACTGTGACGACAGAAAGGTGTAAACAGAATCCTTGCTGTTTGGGTTGGAGCTGGTTTTGCCACATGCAAACATTTCTTAACAACTGATTATAATACAAATGTAGGTGGTGAAAGTATTTATGGTAGAAGATAATTCCATTAAAAATCTGATGAAATTTTCGTTAAGATAATGGCATACTTTATGATACTTACAATCATATCTTCGTGGGCAGTATCCACTGTACTTATTACAGAGACCTAGAACGACAAACAGGAACGGAATTCCTCTTATTAGTGAAGAATTGTCCACGATATTGTCCTTTAGTAAATTGAATTTCTATCTCCACACCATGCATGGTTGTCATATTAGGCAGGCTGGATTGAATTTGCACAACAGATTACAAGTAGGCCTATCTGCTTCGTTCACAAGTACCCCCTCACCGGCAAAGAAAGTACAGTTGGGGGTGACCGACCGACGCCATCTTGCCTGACTGCAATATATTTTGCCACAATGCGCGGCCGTACCACTGCGTGTACATAGTACAAATCCCCTGGTGTACGTGTGTCACACACAAGGAACGGTACATGTCAGCCAGCTAAATGTCCCGCCCATGAGACGTCGTTGCTAGGTAAAAGGGTGCCCTCTTTCGTTGGCGCACAGAGCCCACTGTGGGAAGAGAAGAGGCAGAGTTCGCCCCTTTTTCCTTCCTCTAGAGCTCTGTCGCTTTTGTGTGCAAAATTTCTGACATCTATGCAGTATGATTTGCCATTACTTAACAAATGGAATGTTATAGGCCTACACTTACAAAGATTCGGTAAAAACTTTTACACAGTGGCAGCCGTAACACGATTTTCAACTACTATCCTCAAAGAACCGTCTGGTTCCCTGACCTACATGTAATACTAGTATTCAATGTCAGGATTTTTGGCTGTAGGCCTAATTTCCAGGTTCATTTTGCACACGTTAGCATATCTTAACTTAACTTTATTTCCAATTCCAAACAAGAAAATGAAGAAATATATACAGTGAGTATGGATAAATAATGCAGTGAAAACGAAAAAAACAATGAGAAAGACAATAAAGTTTGGAAATGGAGGGGGTCCACAACTTGAAGCACAGCTTGTCAAGTTGCCCCCTAAATTATGGGTATTTTAAGGGATTTAGAAGGGACCCAAGTTACACCCAACACAATTCGGGCAATTCACAATGCAGTGCGCCACCAAGACAAGAGTTTGCCATGGAGAGTTCATTTTTCCCAGTGCATTGTGGGAGTTGGTCGACAAATTCGCAGCGCGGGACATTTGAAATTGTTAGTTTTTCCGGCCAGAAAGTAAAAGCATACGAATATATGTTTGCCTTTTTCTTTTCTTTTTATCAATATGGAGTTTTTTGTAAAGGCGGCAGAACGCTATGCCCCAATCTATAACAAATTAGCTCAAGTTTCTACTGACACTCGTTCAAATGGGCCATGTTTTGTCGACCGTAAACTTGAAAAATGAACTCTCCATGGCAAACTCTTGGTGGCGCAATGCATTGTGAATCGCCCGAATAGGATAAACACAGACAGAACTAAATGTAACATATTCAGATATTTCCAATTTTGTTAGGAAATACTTTGAAAAGTTTCTTGACTCTCCATAGACCCGTGAATGTGGCGTTGTATACAACGCCATGCTGTTGTGTATTTTTTAACCTAGCGAAATCGATCCGCCATACATAATTCCGTATGGATGTTGAGTACTCACCTAGAAATCTAAATTTGCCCGTCCGATTATTCAGGCTGTGTAATTTCGTCGAAATTTGCCATCAATAAAGACCCATACGAACGTGTAGAAATTAGATTTTAACCTGACGAGTGACCTTGACAAATGACCCCGGACGAGTACCACGGTCATTTCCGTGCAACAGATTGACGGCTGTTTCATGTCGCAACCCCGAAAAAAAACCCCACAGACGATTGGCTGCTCGGCTCATGTTGTGTACGTGTGCGCCCGCGTCAGTAAACAGCCGTCGAATCATACAAAACAGGACGGTACAATAAAACGCAATGCGCATGCGTCAGTTGGGAGAAAATGGCAGCTAGTCGCAGGACTTCATGAACCGGGGCCAGAATTTTCCTCAAATTTTTTCAAATGCAAGTTTTGACGTACAAACATGACAAACAGATTTCAAGACAGCTTCATATGTGAGTACTTATTACATGGGCAAAATAACGTCCAGTGTGGAGTCAGAGGGACAATTTCGCCAGGTTCGATAATACACAACAGCGTGGCGTAGTTTACACAAGCCACGTTCACGGGTCTAGACTCTCCATAGACTTTGTACACAACCGCTGAAGTGAAGTGGCGTCAGGTTGCAAAAATTTTTCCCATCGACATTCTGACATATTTGATTTGACAATGTTTTACTGATCATGTTTATGCCTACCAGAACCAATACAGTCAATTTATGTCTTTGGAATTCACCAGGAAATTCAGAAAATTTCATACCATGTTGTCAGCTGGATACGAGGACACGACCAACGACCGTGCTACAAACAACGCAACTTGGAAAGTTGTGGCACGAAAAAAAAAGACGTGGCACACACACGTTAGATATCACTTCCGGTAGGTCAATTTATCGGTCTAGTCTGGTACCCAGTATCGATACTTTATTCGAATACCGTCCGATACTCTATTCGAATACCGTCTGTAGGCAATCGTAAAGAATCGCAGCGAGCGTATCACACACGGGGCAAGTAGATGAGCAATCATTACTAGCGCGTTGTCGTAAAAGTTGGTACCTTGATCCTGTCGTAATTTATTCTTTAAAATGGGGCTTGCGGTCGCTGCCGAATTGAATTGAGCGCATGGGCAATTGAGCGCACTTGCCCCCCCCCCCCCGGAAAAGCAAAAAAAAAAAAAAAAAGGAGGAAGAAGAAGAAAAATAAGAGAAAAAAGAAAATAAAAAGAGGCGCGAAGACAAAGTGGTGTAAATTTAATGAGTGGGGGGGGGGGGCAACATGTCCCTGCCCCCCTCTAAAACTGATAAATCGAGAATATGTTGAGAAATGCAAGCATTTTTGGCAAAAAGAAATTTTTGCCCCCTCTAGAAAAAATCCTGGCGACGCCCATGATTGAGCGTGATGGGGAGTAATAAATAACCGTCTGATATTTTCTATACAAACCCCCTGTGTAGGGGGTTGTATAGAAATTTCTAGATACCAACCTTTACGATAATGTGTTAGTAATAGTAATGATCTTGCCACTCACGGACGATAAGTATAATACGCCGATTTTTGTCGGAGCCGTGCATGTCACATGCTGCGGCATTATTATTTTGTAGGACGAAACAGAGACAAAAAAGAAAAGAGTGTGGGCGAGGAATCAGCTTTTCTGAAGAAAATATCAACGGTGTGTTTGTTAACCTTTTAAAACTGTTAAGAATATGCATTAGAGACGCACTCTTGGGAAAAAAAACTGGTCCGGTTAACTTATTCCTTATGATGGGACCGTGCGGTTTGGCCGAAGTCAATTTAGCGTGATGGGCCGATCCAACATGGTTTTTGTATAGAAAGCTGCCGAACCACAGTTTGCGAGAGTGTGTCCGTAATGGGGTTGAAGCCTGCCGGTAATGCTGAGCCATACTGCCAAAGTTACTAATGGCATCCCTACATTTGCTCGTGCAAGTAGGACCAATTTTTGTACCCTAATTTTATCAAATATGCTCTTAGATAATAGCCCAACAGCTTGGGAGATGATCCTCGGCTATATTCGCTCGATTCCACCGATTTTTAAACTAGACGGTCTCGGTTTTTACAAAAAAATGGGGGGGGGGGGCACTTTTTACGCAAATTAACGACTCACGTAAATTTTTGAAACCCTAATCAAAATTATTGCGCCCGCTGTCGGTTTTATTGCGCCACTTCCGATATATCTTCTGTCTAGCCCCCCCCCCCCAGCCACCCCTCCCCCACCACCACATCGAAAAATAATAGTAATTAAATACTGTTTAAAAATGTGCTCGTTTATTCAGAAATTCATGAGGCATATTCAAACTGATTGGATGTTTCCAAAGTGTCTTTTCCATTTGCAAAAGTTCTTTTTAAAAGCCCACGGGGGCATGCAAATTGTGATTTGGCCAGCGTATGCAAATTCGGGTCTTGGACAATCTTAAAAGGTAGAACCTAGGAGCCTAGGAAATTTTTTTTATTTCCGTTTAAGAGTTAAGATTTCCCTTACAAAAACACCTAATTATTTTATATTCCCTGACGTGCCTTTATGTGCGCACCCCGCCCGCAGTCACCCATAAATAATAAAACGTCATTTCAGCTGGGTTTTGTTACTTTTGTAGTAGCTTGACCTCCCCCCCGCCAACAACTAAAACAAAAAATAATAGGCAAAATACTGACAACCTTCCAAGGTTATCAAGTGTCTCACATCTTTCAAATTTTATTTATTTTGTTTAAATGACATACAAATATTTAAACCAATTCATACAAACAAATACAAAAGATTCCAAACGAGGAAAAAAGTTGGGCAGAAGGCCAATAAATTTGAGAAAATAATAATAACTTTATATCATAGATGATTATTACATAAGCAACGACTACATGACTGTGCACGGTGTTTTTGTATTTCGCCATTTTGTGAATAAGATTTTAAAAAGGGAAGATAAAACTTGGGAATGAACCCCCCCCCCCCCCCAAAAAAATCCCTAGATTATTTTGAAACATTTAAGGACTATATTTTGTCTAATTTAGCATTTATGTGAAAAAAAAAATTGATGCGAGGTAAGTTCAACACTCGATATAATTGCGTTTATCCTTTTGTGAGGTTAGTTAATTATTAATAAGAAAATGAAAAGACATGCAAAACCACCAAGAAAAACAATTGTGCATACGAAGTAAAAAATATAACAAGTAAACAAAAGTGCAACAATTGTGCATACGAAGTAAAAAATATAACAAGTAAAAAATAAGTGCAATGAAATAAATCACAAAAGGACAAACACAAATGTAATTTGAGTGTCACTTATACCTGTTGCAATGCATTTTGATGGATAGAAGTTCCTGAACAGTTTATTCTTTAAATTTTCCTAAAAATTAAACGTTCTTGTGTTTTCTAATAAATATACAATGGAAAAAAAGTCACGTTTTAGTTAAACCGACGTCTTGTTAAAGACGTTAAATTTAAATAAAGTTTGTTACATTTCTTCAGTTTTTAAACAATAAATTAATCCTTAATAGAAAGCCTTAGGCGAGACCTCGTTTATAATTTACCGAGATGATCCAATTGAATGCATTAAAGGTAAGGAGTATGAAATTATTAACTTATTGATGCAATAATTTTGGATGACCCAGGACAGATCAAAGGAATATCCCTTCTCCCAGACATGTCACTGCTAAAAAGCCAGTGACAAATTATTACCCTTACAATAATTTTTCAGCAAGTTTCAATTATTGTCCATTGTTAACTGTCTGTTGCAGTATCCGGTTTAAGATTATTTTAGAGGCATAAATAATTTAATGGAATCAAAATTACTTTTCATTTTATATTAGTGTTGTTGCCTTAGTGTATAACATTAATGATGTTGCATTATGCAGTCTGATTTATCATTTCATATTGTGCAAGCTAGTTTTTTTAACTCAAGTTTCCGATGAGGGCATCCTTGTCCAGTAGAGCAGTTCCGTCATTGTCCAGTCTCGTCCAAGCTTGGTGGTCTTCATGTCCTAAACATGACAAAACAAGCAAGCAAATTAAAAAAAAATAATACATATATTAGGAAATCAAGCACTGTGGATTTTGTAGGAGGGACAAACTACAATCAGAGGAATAACAAATTATAATCCTCATACCCAGGTCTTTTTTCGTTTTCAAGTAAACTCACCTCAAGAATCAGTAATGGCCAGCCCAGCAGGCGGTGTCAGTCCATCGTCGGTCCTCCCAACTTACGATGGCTTGAGGCAGGCTCATCCTCATCTCAGTAAGACAATTCCCTCATCAGTCAGTGGTCCTCATTTCTCTACAAGGATTCAAATGACGAAAAAAAAAATCTGAAATATTATTAAGAAATATGTGCAAGGAGAAAGAAAACTTCGATTTTTACCCCACAAAGCAACACAACGCTATACCAGCACTCGTTGTGGAAGAACACAGAAAAGTGCCAATCACCAATTTTGAGTTCTGTGACTAAGAGGAAGCCTACATGTACACTAACTTCAAGAATCAGTAATGGGAAGCCCAGCAAGCAGGTCATCCGTCGGTCCTCCTTCCTGCTTCCGGTTCCTCGAGTTTCTGTGTGATGAGGCTGTTGGAGCCTTGGAGGGTTCATTTTCGTCCAGACAAAGCAGCCTAGCTCATCCAGTCTGTCTCAATTTTTAGATCATCAGGAAGTTTCTTTGATGAAAGCTGCAACTCTTTCCTAAGTGGACAGGGGTACGAAAACACTGGGCCTAGCCCATTTGCTACTGAAGTGAAACATTGCAAATGTAGCCAATAATTATGTCTAAGCCTACCTATAACCAGGTCATGGGTAGGACCCAATGGAAACCAAACGATTCTACCCATGTTTCCATTATTTCCTTTTTAAAACAGACACGATTACTTTGTCATAGTGCCGACGCTGATAATGGCAGGTTGCTTTGGAAACTGCATATAACTCGCACACTATAAACAACCATTAAAAGAAATTCACGTGACATTAAGATGACAAAATGCCATCTTAATCCTTGCCAATCCCTTCCAAATCGGACTTACATTGAACATAGTACTATACGGAAGGAGGGTTACACGTAGGCTAAAATCAACAGGGAAATAGTAGTTTTCTATGTTACTCTAAACCTGTCGCATATGTTGAAATGCTTTCTTTTGAAATTTACGTTAAGTACGGTATACTCGTAGCCCACAAAGATTTGATCGTGAACGTCTATATTAGACCGATCTCTTTTAACTACTGCAACGCTTTTTTTCCGTTAATATGGTTTTCGTGTTCTCCCCTTCAATAAAACAGCACTGTCGGCCTTATACGTTATTAAAGGTCAAAGTAAGACAACCAAATGAGTAACTCAAAGGAGAAATATATACTTGATGAAAACATGTATCCCTGCCGATCTTTCCAAATCGGACTCACATAAATGATGTAGATTAAGTTTAAACCTTTACAAAAACACGAAGAAATGTTGCATAGTTAATTAAATATGTTGCATGTCTTATACAGCCATATTCCCTATCGCTTTGTTGATTACACTTAAGTTGTACCTTTTCACATGCATAACCTGGCTATTTCTGGCCTTTTTGAAGGCAAACTTCTTGACAATGTCACAAATTGCAGTTATTTTCGCTGACGAATAATACTAAACAGATGTGGTGTAGGCCTAGAACTTGGGGGAATGCCTTTAACATGCTGCTTTAATTGAAATTCAGTCATTTTCTTTACATCAATATAATGGAGTTATTCCTTAATTTCCGTTTTTTTTTTAATCTTTTTTTCTGCCGTCATTTTCCCCACCGTTTACCAAAATTCGTTTTCCAACTTTTTTAAGCAGTGTAGTATTGTACCGGAAGTGCCTGCCAATTATAATTTGAAATTTTTTTGTTGACATTATTTCGGTCATTTTTCCTTAGCAAATTTTTGCATGGCATGATTTTCAAATATTTATTTC